TTATTCTCATGACGTGTAAAGGCTTTCAATGTGTTTCTATTCTGGTTCTATTTCCTTTGTGATAAAGCTTCTAGTTAGAGTGGCTCAGGTTATCCTGAGCTATCTCTATAGTTCTGCTGCTATAGGCTTAGACTGCTGGAGGACATAGGGACCCCTTTTTCATCATTCTGCTTCATTCTATCTCTATTCTCCCACTGTGCAGAATCTGTTAGTTCAATCTCTAACGTTCTGCTCTCTCTGCTGCCATCAACACCTTTGTTTCTAGATGTTGGAGCTTGGCCTGTTTTCCAGTGTAGTCCTGTTTCTCTGACTGTGACTAACTGGATGTGCTCTCTTCATCCTCTGACATGGGAGCTGGCTCGGAGCTCGTCTGCCTGGCTGTGTGTTTCCTGGACGGGGCCGCCTGTGGAGCTGGTTGACAGTTGCCTTTTGTATCTATGCTTCTTTTTCTATGTCTGCTTCTGTCTCCTTGAACCCCAGTGGGCCTCAGCAGATGGCCGCTCACACTGAGCCTGGTTCTGCTGGAGGTTTCTTCCTGTTCAAAGGGAGTTTTTTCCTCTCCACTGTCGCTACAAGCATGCTTAGTGTGAGGGATTGCTGAAGAGTCAATGAGTCGATGCAATCAGCTGGTTTTCCTTAGATAGAAAACTTTGAATCAATCTGACTGGATGATCTGGTGAACTGGAAAGTGCCTTTAGATGACAGGTGTTGGGAATTAGCGTTTCTAAAACCACTCAGCTTCAGAACAGCCCTGGAGAACTTAATTAGGGATTGAAGAACATTAAAGGAGGAGGAGTTTAGGAAAGAACTGGTGAATCGTTTTATAAGGCAATAAAATGAAGGTCCATTGAGGTCTGGATGGGTCTGAGTCTGGGTGGCCTCACGCAAATAGACCCAGAATGGAAACACATTAGAGAGACTAATGGCTGCAGACGCAGTGCTGTGTATCCTGCAGGCTATTTAAAGCAGAGGAACCCTGGACCATTCTGAAAACATGAGGGGGGGGGGGGGGGGGGGGGGGGGGGGGGGGGGGGCAGGAGATGAAAACTAGGAGCAGACGGAAGATGTGGGTCATGAAAAAAACCTATAAACCTATAAACCATGGTTTATTTTTGGTTCTAGCAAAGTTCTTGATGTTCTTCAGTCCAAATGTTACTCAGTCAATATATCCACAGCAAAACGGGTCAGAAAATATAATAAATCACTTTTACAACTATTATTTTTTATTTCTCTGTGAAAAAAATGAAGTTCTTGCTAAAAGAAAACAGTTTCTCCCATTCTGATGTAACTACAGAGATACCTGCCTGATTAATTACCAGGAAGAAGGAACGTAGAAAAGATTTAGATCAGGCTTCTCTTAACGAATTCCAGGCCAAGGACCCCAAACTGATGGTTACATGGAGCGGGGGGCCCTTAATTATATATATGGTATTAAATAGTGTTCTATCAAACTGGTCCTATAGTCACTCTATTACAGATGGAGTAATGTAACTAAAGTAATCCCTCCCTGGGATTATTAAAGTATTTCTGATTCATGGTTGATGGGACAGGTGTTGAGAATGAAACGGTGCCCAGCTTGAAAGAGCTCCTGTGTGTCGCTGAATGTGAGCATTGATCATGGGCGGTTCTAGACAGGGGCCAACGGGGGCCAGTCCCCCTGTAGATCAGGTCCCGGCCCCTTTTATGGCCCCTGAACTGAAGACATAATACTCAAATAAATAGTAATGATGATCTGAGCTGGAACTCACATGGTTACTGATTGGTCATTTGGATCTATTTAATTTTTTTTCTTTACAAATTCTGTTTTACTAATTATTTGAAAACATAGGATTCCAGTTTTCTTCTGCTAATTGTTTTTTCTTTTTTTTTTAAACAAATTGCTCTTATTTTCTACGGCTGTATTTATCCGTTTATTTTGAGTTCTAATTCAGATTCTATAGAAAACGGTCATTTTAACTTAAATCAAGTGAAGTATATGTAAAATTCATAACTTCTGAATGTATATTGACCTAATAAGAATTTTTTTTTTTCAATTCATGCACCTATGTTAATATATTTGAATCACTTGCCCTGTTTTTTATTTAATGCTTTTCTGGGCTCCTGTGAAAACATGCAGGCCCCCTCCTGGCCCCCTGGAACATTTGGTCTAGAACCGCCACTGTCAGTGATGACTGAAAGACATCTTCTGCCTCCATTTATCTGTTTATATTCATGTTAATGTGGATTTAAAGACATTTCAATTAGTGGAAAAAATTACAGGAGGAATATAAAAAAAGTCTAACCAAACAAAATTTTCGTGACCCCGATGCAGTACCTCCATGGACCCCTAGGGGTCACGGACCCCCTGTTGAAGACCTCCAATCTAGACTATAAAAATAACTGGTGTAGGTCCGTTTTCTTCCTCCAGGGGGAGCTACAGCCGACCATCTCTACCAGAGAGACCGTCCATCTGCAAAAGTATGGAGTAAATTTTGTTCCATTATTGTTGGAAGCAAAGGAAATACTTTGTAAATGGAAATAAAAAAAAATCCAAATCAGAAATCAAACCTTAAAAATCTTTTGATAGTAATTTTGCAAGATTTTATTATTCATTTTATTTCTCTAATTATTTTTGAGAATTTTTTTGTTTTGTAATATTACATTTTATTTTTGTTTTGAAATTATGTTTTGCAGATCAAGAGAGCTTTTCTCTGGAGACGCATTTCTTTAGCAACAACGGAAATACGTTACCAATCCAACGACAATTGAAATGGCTTTACTCATCATTAAAGATTAAATATTTATTTTGCACATCTAAAAAAATCTCTTTAAATATGTCTAAATATTTTATTTTAATAATTTAATTTCCATTAGCTTTTTGAAGGTCATTGGGTGAGTGGGGCGGGACCCTATCGCCCTCTATTGACCAGATACTGGTTTGCGGTCGAAGACGGTTTGGTTATAAAAATTAGGGATGCCACCGAAAAATCTGTTCATTAGACATACGGAGCTTTTTCAGCTGAAAATGGCAACAGATTGTAAGTTTATACAAGTTAGTAATTTAATGCAAGAAGCTGAAGAAAACATTAAATGTTCTTCTTTACTAGTTAAAAAAAAGCTTCTCAGAGGACCATGACTCCCAGTTAGAGGGTTAAAATGAACACATGCTTTCTAATTGTACAGACAGAATTTTAAAAAGTGCAATAAAAATATGATGAAAAGGATCTTTATAATAAAAATAAAAAAAGAAAATAACAAAGTTACTCTCTAAACCTTTTTAGATGAAGAAGTGTACAGTATATTGATTAAAAACTCCAGGTTTCCATACAGAAGAGGATTAGGGCCACTGGAAAAAAAAAAAAAAAAAAGATTTTTAAATATTATTTCGGTTTAATATGGGAAAAAAGTCAGAATTCTGACTTTTATCTCAGACAAAGATGTGAGGTGTTTGGGAGGAACAGGAAAACATTGGTGGAAAATGATTGAATTAGGCAACTTTTTACATGCCTGAGAGTCCCTGGTGATGCTGTTTGATTAATGGAAGAGCAGAAGGTGATTAAAACAAGAGAGCTAGTCTCTAAAACAGTCATGGCTACGGCTGCATGCTAACATGATTGCTAGCTGACAGAATTCAGTCAGAATTCTGAGAAAAAACTAAGAATTTTGAGGAAAAAGTAAGAATTCTGAGATTAAAGTCAGAATTGTGAAAAAAAGTTGGAATTCTCAGAAAAAAAAAAAAATCCAAATTCTAATTTTAAAGTAAGAATTCTGTGATTAGAATCAGAATTCTGAGATTAAAGTCAGAATTCTGACTTTTGTCACATATCATACTGCTATACAATTAAAAACTCAGTCCAGTTTTTTATTTTTCCAGTGTGGCCTTAATCCTCTTCCTTATTTCCAACCAGCTGACTCTTCTTCTCTTCTTCTGCTATGCTGAGCACCACTAGCTGCTTTAGAGGCAAACGCGGTTCTAGGCAGGGGCCAACACCCCTAGAGATGCTGGCTCCTGTTATGGCCCCTGTACTTAAAACATACACTAGGGTTAGAGTTAACAATTTACTAATGGAATAAGGTGATTTCAATGTAACATAATAAAAAAAAATCCATCTTCTTATTTCAAGTAGTTTATATGTAATTATCTTATTTTGAGGGAAATATATATATATTTTTTTTGGCATTCATCATCTTATTTACCCACTCATTTTAAGAAGTTTTTACATTTTAGATGACTCCATACATCACTGAGGACATCTGCTGTCAGAACAGCAGAAAGCACCTTAAAAGGAAATATAACAGAAAAAGAAAACATTTCTCTCTCTGTTAGTTTTTAGCAGGAAATCTGCTCATATTTAATCTCTCATCTTGATCCATTGACTTCCAGAACATCCATGATGCATCATTCCTCATGAAAGAGGATATTTGCACAACATCAAACAGTGAAACACATGAACCCTGAAATAAATATGCAGACATCTGCTCCAGTTTAAACAAGAAAGGAAATCAAATACCCATAAAACACGTGTGCTTGTTGTTTTTCCCCTCATGTTTTAGGGACATCAGAGAGAAAATCCACGCTGCTTGGATCCATGACAAGCTTCCATTCTAATAGGTACTAAATATACTTTCTTTCACTTAGAAAAAATTAATAAATAAAAATTAATCACAGGCTGTTGATAAAAATCAATCAATAAATATAGAAATGACTGCATATGGACGTAAACAATGGAGCTAAGATCTGCATCCTGCAGGAACATCTTCTGACATCTTCTGTCTTATTGTTGTTTTATTCACAGTCTGCAGCTGATTGCAGAAAGTGAAGATTTAAAGGGAAAACTGTTTAAAAATGCCTTACAATCATTTATAAGATCAGGAATATTCTATTTATAAAGAATAAATGAAGGTAATGTAATAAAGCTGGGTTGCCTGAAAGACAAGGCGGAGGGAAAACAAACAGCTGCTAATGTGAACGCGCCGCGTGGAGGCGCAGGCAGAGGAGCGGGAACGCGCCCAGCTGTCCGCGCGCCGCTCACACCTGCATGTGGACCTGTCGGTCCCTTTAATCAGGCTTTAGTCCCGCCTTCTCTAACAGGGCGCACCTGAGCAGGTGCGTCCACGGCGCGTTTCTTTGCTGACATCATCGGCGTCGTTGCGCAGCTTCCGGCTGTCAGGTGAGACGGAAGAGAAGAGAGGAGCGAAGAGTCACCCGTCAGCTCACCTGTCGATTAGGGAGGAGGAAAAAAAGTAAGTTAAATCGGGAAATATGGCCGATAACCTGAGGGGAGCTGTTCTATGTTCTCTGGTTCTATGTGCTCAGCTTCTATATTCTGTGTTCTCTTGTTCTATGTTCTATGGTTCTGTTTGTTGTCGTCACTTCCAGTTTCTCACCTGTGCTCCATGGAGATCAGCAGCCAGAAAAACCAGTTTAGAACCAGACCTTAATGGGCCTGTTCTGGTGCCCAACCGCAGGTTCAGGGCCCTTTGAAGGGCCTCAGGAGGACAAAGCTCCAGCCGCTGTTCTGTCAGACCAACATACCGACAGTCCATACACAAGACATCAGATCTGCATTTATCTCTTTAGTTTAGTACGACAAATAAACTTTAAAAGTTCCTCAACGGCCTTTTTTCCCTTCAGTCATGCACAAAAAAACTAAACAATTTAAGGTCAGATCAGCATACGCTTCAAAAGAAACCAAAAAGTAAGTAATTAAATTAGTTTTTTTATACATGACTAAAGGGATACACGTTTGTTTGGGTAGTTTAGTCTATTTTTCGTACAAAATTAAAAGGATAAACTATTAAAGGGATAAACGGGTATTAATTATCTGACTCATCTGACAGAACACTGGTAAAAATGAAATCAAACAAGCAACAGATTTGATTTAAAAAATGTTTTCTTCTGTGATATTTAGCTTTTACCTTCAGTTTACTGCATCATTTCAGTTTAAACTAATTATTTAATGATTTAGGAAGATCTTTGTCACGTCTTGTTCTGTAAAAGCTGCGTTACTGTACCTTTAAAAAGACTTTTGGAGTCAGGAGTTATCAGGAAATATATTAATGTGTTGATCACAGGTTGCTAACATGTTGCTCAACGATACAGAGGAAAACAATAAAAGGGAATTAATGGCTTAAGGAATGTATGATGAAATAAAAATATATATTGATGTTAAAACATCGAGTTATCACAGAAATAAAAATACTGAAATGAGTAAAACAGGGTTTATAATTCAGACTAACAGGATTTATTGTTTATCTTTTAACTCTTCACTATTGTTCTTATACGTTTTTCAAAGGTCCTTTTGTACGGAAGTGGATTAGGGCCACTATAAAAATGGAAAAAAAGTTACAGATTTAAAAAAATATATTATTTCAGTTTAATTTTAGGAAAAACGTCAGAATTCTGACATGTTAGCATCAAGCTGAAGCCATGTTTGTTTCAGAGACTAGATCTCTCGTTTTAATAATAATACATTTTATTTCAAAGGCGCCTTTCTGGACACTGAAGGTACAAAGATAAAAACACTACGGGAGAAACAAAGTTGTCAAAGTCCTGAGGTTTGGAGGTTAGGAGAAAAGTGACATGGAGCTATGTTGATTGGCAATGGTTAGGCTGGAGTAGTGCTGAGTTTTACTGCTGGCAATGGAGTCCTGATAGTGAAAGATGGGATTATTGTACATTTCTTACATTTTAAGAAAAGTTTGAATCACCTTCTGCTCTTCCATTAATCAAATAGTATCAGCAGGGACCCTCAGGGACGGAAAGTCTCCTAATTCCATCATTTTCCACCAATGTGTTCCTGTTTCTCCCAAACAACTGAAGCTGAGTGCTCCATATCTCTGCCTTCATTGAGCCCATCCACATTAAGATCCACAATTCTCAGATTAAAGTCAGAAACTTCTGAGATTAAAGTCAGAAACTTCTGAAATTAAAGTCAGAAACTTCTGAGATTAAAGTCAGAAACTTCTGAGATTAAAGTCAGAAACTTCTGAGATTAAAGTCAGAAACTTCTGAGATTAAAGTCAGAAACTTCTGAGATTAAAGTCAGAAACTTCTGAGATTAAAGTCAGAAACTTCTGAGATTAAAGTCAGAAAACCTCTGAGATTAAAATCAGAAAACCTCTGAGATTAAAGTCAGAAAATTCTCATTTATTTTTTTCCCCCATGTTAAATAAAATAAAAAAACACTTATTTTTTCAGTGGCTCTAATCCTCTTCCATCCATTTGTGACCATTTTCCTCTATAATCTTTTTTCTGCTGTAAACACCAGAATTTCTCCGTTGTGGGACAATAAAGGGATTTTCTATTCTATTCTACCATATTCTATTCTAAATATCAGACAGAGCTGCAAACTCAAAACTTAATTCAAAGATGTCAAACAGACCATTAGATTAAAACATGCGATCATTTAAACTGCTGCAAGGTTTTTATTAAAAACAGGAAAAACAAGAACTGTTGGTTTAAAATGAAACTGATCAGAAAGAAAAACATAATTAGATCTATAAAAGTTGTGACGACCTTTGACCTCTGTGCTCTCTGCAGTAAATGTTTTCAGTCCTGGTTTAAAGGAGCCAGCAGTGAGAATAGAAAATGGTTTAGACATTTATTTCCTTCTTGAGGTGAAATCTCTGCGAACCGTGGATAGAAACGTTCAGATAGAAAGAGCTCAGAAAGAAAAGAAACCAGGACCTGCAAAGATCCTTTAAGCTCTTTATGTCAAACCTGGAACCGATGGTTAGAAACTCTTCATGTGTAAAGATCCTGACCCGGAACCAAAGGAGCAGCGAGGGAAACCCTGGCAGCCTGTTGACTCACCTCTACAGAACCTCATTGATAAAAAGCGGGTTTTAGTTCTGGTTCTGAGCTCTCTGACTTCATGACGGAGCTCCTTTTTCCTACTAATGTGATTCCTTAAACCCAAAAAGAAAATAATGTAAATATAATCCTATAATATTGGTAAATAAAGCTGCCTAGAACATTAGGCCTGAATGCTCCTGCTTGGGTTGAACTTTGACCTCTGGGCAGAAGGCTCTCTGAATGAGAGCAGAACATGGAGGGTCAGGAATGTGCTGCTGCAGCAGTAACGCTGTCGCCCGTCGGGTCGCCGTCGGTTAGTCAGACTGACGGCAGGTTGGGACAGAATCTAGAAATCGATTCTAGAAGGATTTGGACCTTCAGCACCTGAGGAACGGCTCCAGTTGGGATTAGATTGAAAGGAGGAAACTATAGTGAGAGAAACTACAGTAAAGTATAAAAATATAAAACGAGGAGCAATATTTATGGTTATTTAACCTGTTTTAAGAACTTATTTTATTCCAACTCATTTTTTTCACTATGTCATTCATTTATTTATTAAAATCTTACTTTGTAAAATAACTAATTAGCTCCAAATGAAATGTTAATTTAAAAAAAGTAAATATACACACACAAAAATACCCCCTTATTTTCCACTAAAAACACGCTAAATAACCATAAATATTCCCGCCTCATAATAAACCACAAATAGACCTTTGATGAATCTGAGGTTTTATTGATCGATTTCCTTCCTCCAAATGTTGTTTCCCTTCACAGCTTGTAGAAAACAGCAAACTTATATATTAATTATTATATTAATATATTCCATTTAAAAGTATTTCTGCTGCCACCGTCTGTATTAGAAGGGAAAACATAGTAGGGGTGGCCAATGATTGGCTAATGGTGGCCATGGCCCCCCATCTAGCTCCGCCCCTGTGCAGGATCCTTCTGGGACCAAGTCTGTTCCTGTTTTCTCTGTATTTCTGACCCTCCTAAGAAGTTCTCATGAGTTGTAGTAAATCAAGTGGCTCATTTCCATAAAGTCGCCCTGATGGAACCCATTACCTTCCAGCCTCTCCTCACATGTAGGCTGAGTTCTTTCTCTCCTGGTGCAAAAGAGACGATAACTCTCTCTGTGATGCTCGTGTCTGCAGTGAATCCCATCCCTTGCAACCTGAAGTCTGAGGCCAAGAAGGCCGCCAAGATCCTGAGAGATTTCACCCAGATCTCCAACAGGACTGGGCCGGATAAACTCATCCCCGGTAGGAGGCGTCCCTGGTGCTGAAAGCGGCTCTAAAACCCCGGATCTGAACCGGCCTGTTCTGTGTTTCAGCTCACATTATAGCCAAGGCCGAGGGTTTGGCCATCATCTCCGTCATCAAGGCCGGCTTTATGGTCACAGCCAGAGGCGGCAGCGGCGTCGTCATCGCCAGACTCGCCGACAGACGTAAGAAGTTGGGTTTTGTTGCTTCAGAAACAAAGCGGCTCCTTTGAGCCTTTATATAACGAAGTAAAGCGTCCAGCTCAGCTCTAACGAGCCTTTCTGGGTCCAGGTTGGTCAGCACCGTCCGCCATCGGCATCGCTGGCCTCGGCGGAGGCTTTGAGATCGGTGTGGAGGTAACTCCATTCAATTCTATTCAGTTTATTTCTATAGCTCCAATTCACATAATGTCATCTCAGGTCACTTTCCAGTTCACCAGATCATCCAGTCAGATTGATTCAAAGTTTTCTATCCAAGGAAAACCAGCTGATTGCATCGACTCATTGACTCTTCAGCAATCCCTCACACTAAGCATGCTTGTAGCGACAGTGGAGAGGAAAAACTGTGGAGTCACAGCCAAACAGGAACAGACCAGATGAAGCTACTATGAGAAAAAGCAGAGAGAGCAGAACGTTAGAGATTGAACTAACAGATTCTGCAGAGTGGGAGAATAGAGATAGAATGATGAAAAAGGGGTCCCTATGTCCTCCAGCAGTCTAAGCCTATAGCAGCAGAACTATAGAGATAGATCAGGATAACCTGAGCCACTCTAACTAGAAGCTTTATCAAAAAGGAAAGTTTTAAGCCTAGCCTTAAAAGTAGACAGGGTGTCTGCCTCACGGACTAAAACTGGTAGTTGGTTCCACAGGAGAGGACTAGGTTGGGTCGCCGGGATTTTTTGAGGATCAGGAGCCGTCATTCGTTGCTCCTTCTTGTGTTCAGGTGTCAGACCTGGTGATGATCCTGAACCAGCGGAGGGCGATCGACGCCTTCACCAAGGGCGGCAACCTGACGCTGGGCGGGAACTGCACCGTCGCCGTGGGACCTATGGGCAGGTGAGATCCTGCCGCCGTCAACGCTTGTTAATTACCTCTAATGTTTACAGGAGGTTTAAATTATAGCTTTGCCTCTAATAAGCTGTCATCGGATGAGACGTTCGATGACAGTTTGTGTTTTGGGGCTGGAAACTGATTTGGATTTCTGTCGGTGGTTGTAGAATCAGTCTCAGGGTGGCTGACGGGTTGGAACACGAGGTTCTGGCTGCTGCTGGGTTTGTGGGCGGAGCCTGATGTCTGACTGAGCAGATTTTTCTCTAATTAAGCTGCAGACAGACGACTAAATTAGACCTGAATTTGATTGACTTTGGTTTTATAGCTTCTTATTAAACAAAACAAACAAATTAAATAATGAAGAATTTCACTGTTAAATAACCTGAACTGCTCCTCTGCCATCTTGGTTCCTTCCTCTCTGTTTTTATGCCATTTTGCTGCAGCTTCTTTCTCTTTCCTGTCGTTCTGTTAAATGTTGATCATTAAGACTTTTTGCTAAAATCTTCAGCATATCATAGCAGCTTTTTCATCATGAGCTTCTGATGCGTTCAGAAGCAGCAGCTGCTGGAGTTGGAAGAATTGAACTTTTGATGCAGCACTGCTGATGCAGAGCGCTATGATCACTATGGAAGAAAAACTGTCTCATTGGAATCTGCCTTTTTTTTGTACACCTAATTTTAAACACTGAATTTTTTTTACACATTGAACTCCCTACATTTAATTTTTATCTGGTGAAAATTTTCCTGCAACTAAATTAGACTCCAAATGTGTTGACCTTTCGGTGAGGCAAAGCAATCCACGATTGATGCAGTCCAGCAGCTTCTAGCCGATTAAAATTTGCTAGAAGAGATTCTAGTTTCTCAAAAAAAGTTTGCCGCCGGGTCCGGCCACTTTTTCTGGATCAAACCAAGAGCCTTGGCAGACGGGGGGGATGCCGCACTATAATGGCTGTCTAGAAGGGGTGTAAATAATAATCGTTTTGTATCGACGATCCGATGCATCGATACGTCCGCAAGAGATTCGATTCATGTTGTTTTTTTTTTTTCCTCCGGTCTATTTTTATCAATTTGCTCCTGGGCGTAATTCTCCTCCCATGCTGCGGTGGTGCTAAACCTATTTTGCCCTCCTACCTCGCTTCCTGGTTATTTTCTTACAGCAGTGTTTTGCAGTGAGCTTGATGCAGACATTTTTAAATTATGCTCAATATTGAAGCGTGGTCTGTGCTACACGCTGTGGGTCTAGATACGGCCGAGGCGGCGAGGAAGTGGGGGCGAGTTTAGTCCGACGACGGAGGAACATGAGGGCCAAAAAGAGCGGAGATCCAGGAGGGAAAAAGGGTCCCAGCGTTCTCACGCACCTCGCTCTTCTAGCGGGTCAAACTTCACGAGTTGTTTTCCGGAATTTCGGTCATAAAAACAAAACAAGCTGGCCTCCTGTCTGCGGCGATATCTGCGGTCAGCTACGATGTGGGAGAGGAGCAGCGGAGCGTCTATAACGCAGGAGTATTATTATTTATCAGTGAATGTGGTTTTAATAGGAATACATGGAGTAAAACTTTTCTATTTCTGTTATTTGCTGTAAGATAAAAGGAAAAACCAATATTAGCTTCAAAAGATGTGCCTGATTTCAGAATAATTCTTGTCGATGTCGGCCTTAAAAAAAACTAAAATAAAACTCTGACACTGTCCCTCTCTACTATCTCTATTATTCTTGTTTCTATCTTGCGGTGGTCTGGTTGTCTTCATCATAGATTGTTCTGTTGTTGGAGCACGAGTAACCAGCCGGTTGTGGCATGGAATTCCCCAACCAGTCATGAGATAAAATCTCTCCAGCTAAGTTCTGGTTCTGTCTTGTGATCACCCTGTGAGAGCCGGCAGAAGCATCTCCTCAGGACTCTTAGGGAGGATACCTCTGCATGCCTAACTGCTGAAGTCGAGGAGAGTCTTTGTTTTTCTCCATCTTTAAGGTTCGGCTTAGAGATGAACATCTTCTAGAAACGTTAAGACCACAGGTCGTCTGGTTAATCAGGGTTCTGGAGGAATGTGCATCTTTAGTGGCTCAGAAAGTGTCAAACTTTATTAATGATTCCTTTTGATGTGGCGAAGCAGTGACTCTGATCTGATAGACCAAATCCTCCACCACTTTGCCTGACGGTATGAACAACGCAAATACGACTTTTTCCCCCAGTGCGAACCAGGCCACTCGGCTCTGTGGTGAAACCGATACGAATCTGATCTTTTCAAATGCGACCCGAGTCTGAACCAGGTCGCAACCATCCGACCTGAACGCCATTAGTAGCCGGCAAAGGTCATTGTTCTGCGTCTTGTTACACTGAAACGGCGAGAAAAACATCAGCCATGGCGGACGATGATGCGAAGAGATGTATTTTTATTAAAAAGATTGATTTTTCAAGGTTGGGAAAGATTGCTAGATGCGCTCCGGTGCTACCATCCGTGTTTACTTCCGTAAACAGCTTGCACACTTGCGTTGTACAAATGCAGTTCACACAGGAGATCGAACTCAAGTCGCATATATTTGGAAACGTGAACGGCAACGCAAGAAAAATCGGATTTTGCAGAAACAATCGCAATTGAGCATGAAAGCCTATAGTGTGAAGATAGCCCGTTATCCTCCTGCAGCAGCATGTCGCAGTTAGCTTGTTGCAGGTATGATGCAGATATTTTTAATTTATGCCAAATATTGAAGCGTGGTCTGCACTATGTTATTCCACGCCACAACGCCAGTAGCCTCGTGAGACCATCCTGATCTCGCGAGCTTTCAAGGTTTCACTCGCAGATCAGTCTGGAGACTCTCCGTTGAAGAAAATTTGGAGCCGTTCACCAAACGAACGTCCAATCAGCGTTGGCTTTGAGGCGGGTTGAGGTGTGACGCAACGAGAAGCGCGACAGTTCAGTCTAAAGAACATGGCCGATGAAACTAGCGTTAGCGTGGCTATCAAGCAAGTTTTATCGGAATTACAGAGTATTTCTTCACTGAAAGAAGAGCAAAACACTGCTCTGGAGGCTTTTCTCAGAGGAAAAGATGTTTTTGCTCTTCTCCTGACTGGTTTCGGCAAGAGTTTGATCTATCAATTGGCTCCTCTTCGTCGTTGCTCTGTTAGTACGTCATATGCTTCGTTGATCTGATTGGTTTATTTGGCCCGTCTATCACCAACATAGGCCAATCAGCTAACCAATATTTTCGCCCCTTCCCAAAATTACTTCAACGGAAGGTTTCCAGATGGATATGCGGAGCAAATCCATCTGGCGGAGTCAGGTTACAACGCCAGAGGGCCAATCAGGAACTAGTTGTGGGTCTAGATACGGCCGAGGCGATGAGGAAGTGGGGGCAAGTTTGTGCGACAACGGAGGGACTTGAGGGCCAAAAAGAGCAGGGATCCAGGTGGAAAAAGGGTCCCAGCGTTCTTGCGCACCTGTCTCATCTAGCTGGTACATCTTCACGAGTCGTTTTCCACAATGGCGGCCAGACAAACAAAACAAGCCGATAAGGAACCAAACAGGAAATACGGATAGTTTAGAGCAGATGTAGATTTGACCAATCAGAGGCCTCTGAGGTGCAGCAGAGTGTTGCAGAAGGGGGCGGGGCATATCTGCATTCACTGCGACACATGCAGACGATCTGGTTTCTGAGTATAAATCAGCCTTTAGATCCGTGATCTCCTTCCTTGATCGTTACCTGCAGGTGAGTGGGATTATTAATCCGGTCTTAAAAGTTTTGCAGTGTCATCTTTACCCTAAAAGGCTCGTACAGACGTCTCTCTCATCTGTCTCCACCCCTTCTCTTGACCCAAAGATGAGTGATGCTGTGGGGTTTTCTTGTTCCAGGAACCTGGAGGCGGACGTCGCCCTGCGCAGCACGGCGGCCGTCTTCACCTACTGCAGGTCCAGAGGTCTGTTTGCAGGAGTTTCTCTGGAGGGATCTTACCTGATAGAACGCAAGGACACCAACCGCAAGTATGACGGAGTGCGGCCGTGCGCCCGTCAGACGTTGCTGAATGTTTTCAGTTGACAGAACGGTTTGTTTTCAGTTTCTACCAGCAAGATATCCGGGCTTCACGCATCTTAAACGGAGACGTCGAGCCTCCGACGGAGTTCCACGACCTTTACCACATCCTGGACATGTACACTGAGGCCTACACCACCGACTGGACCAACAAGAACATGAGAACCAGGGTACTAATCAGAAGGATGGGGTTAAAAGCATGCAACACAGATTTTTACTGGTGGTCAAAGGTTTTCCAGTCCTCCTTTAGTCTTTTAAGGTGGATCTGATTGTTTGTGTCTGCAGTCAGTTGCTCCATCCAGACCTCCTGCTCCATCCTCCCAGAGGGCTCCTCAAAGCAGCAGCCGGCAGCAAGCGGCAGACAGTGGTGAGGCTCCAAAGCGTGGCGGCTGGTTTCTGGGGGCTCGGGCTGCTGGTGCTGTCGTTCATTCAAGTCTTTGTGTTTCAGAAGCGAAGAAAAACAGGCTCTACCCGAGTGTCTCCGTCTACAAGTCTGAAGCATCGAGTAAGTCCTTCCGTCAGGGTTACTCTGAGGTTGAAGGTTCAGGTTTGATCAGGTTCCGCTTATATTTCATGGAGTCAACTGGTCTCAAAGAACCATTAGGTTTATTTTATTTTAGAGCAACTGTGAAAATCAACAAACATGTAGAAAAAGTAGAATATATTCTATTATTTTCCATGTGAATCCCAGATTCTTCTTTGCCTTTTCTACAAAGTTCTTTAAATCAGTCCTAGCTGTCTTTATCCATGCTGGCTCAGATCCTGACCTTTGAAAAGGAGGCAGGGAAAGCAGGATAAAGCCTTAGCCTCGCTGCATGCAGTTAGCCGAGCCTTGGAGCTAAACCAGGTCCTGGAAAAGGGCGGTTCTTGCGCCATTTCTCTCATTCCTCAATGCGTCTCCAGCTCCAATCACCCGCAAAACATTAGCACTGCTGCAGGAGGCGGTGAGCAAATACACTTCCTGTCAGCTCTCCTGTACCTTTGTACTGCAGAGGAGCTACTGGACGTTTACAACTTTTAACGAGAGTCACTGGGCAAAGATTGTTGCGCCCCGGGGCGGAAATATGTCACAAGTCCGAAATATTTAATGACACTTTACTAGTTATTAAATTTTAAATATGCATCTTGCACATCTAAGAAATAGATATTAATATATTTCAAAATATGTCAAATGTTAATTTAAAATTAAATTCTAAAAAAATGTGTATATATTATGTTTTAATCGATGTCATTGGGTGGGTGGGGCGGTGTCCTAGCGCCCTCTGTTGGCCAGCTGCCACTGGTTTCTGCTAAAACGATGAATGGAGGTCAATTTGATTCAATTCAGTTTATTTCAGTTTATTTCTATAATTGCGTTTCCCCGCCAACTCCCCTCAGATTGGGGTCAAAATTTGAACGTGGAAAAAAAAAATCTGATTTAACATAGAAATTAGTAATTTAAAAAACTGATTTAAAAAAAAAATGAAAAAGCAATTTGAAACAAAACAAAATGGAAACTGAAAGAAAGGGATTTGAATCTGAAAATCTAAAATCTAAAACTGCAATAAAGAAAAGAAATTTTAAAAAGGGTTTATTTAAAATACTAAACTGAATCGAGTTTTTTTCAAGTTGAGGGGAATAATTTCGATTTAATTCTTATTATTTCATGTTTGCTGTTTTAGTTTCTCAGATTATAAGGTAAAAATGTGAAATCTATATTAACTTATATTTTTTCTGATTCAATTAAGATTTATGTTTACAAACATTTTGACCCCTTTCTGACTCCATAGATTCTCCACCATGAACAGAATCAACAATAAATCTGGATCCAGGCTCAAAATGAGCTCCTTGATATGTGCTTGAGAATGGCTTAGTCTCTGGTTAAACCCAGGTTTAAAGCCTTGCTGGGCAGCCTAAAGCCAACTGCCAACATTAAGACAGAAAAAGAAAGAAAATAACAAATCATTCTGATCTTTTATAGATTTCTACAAAAAGCTGGGTCTGAGTTGCAGCTCTCCTTATACACTTGATTTATTAGCAGTTTCAGGCTGTGGCTCCCTCTAGTGTTTACAATGCAGTACTGCAGTTAAGCTTTAAATTAAGCTTAATTAGTTTGAAGAAAATTGCAAACTGCTTATTGACTTATGTCGAGAATCTTTCTATCAATAATCAGATGAAAAAAGGTTCTTTAAAAGAAGACTTTTTAAAAGATTTTAACCAGGTGAAGCTAAAACTTTTCCACTTGAGGAGTTCTGGATTATAGAGCAAATTTGCAGAAAAGTATTTTTTTTTAATCTAAAATACCAATTATATATATATATATATATATATATATATATATATATATATATATATATATATATATATATATATACACACACACACAACTTTTTTTTTTTTTACAATCTTTGTATAATTCCTGCTCTAAGTAGGTCACTCTGTCAGCTAAAGACACGTTTCATGATCTCTCTACTCTTGTGAACGATTAATTGATTCATCCGATTAATTATTTTAGCACTAGATTTTTGCATGTAATAAATAAAATAAAAATAAATTTAGAGGATGTTATTGAATTTCCAGACTTTATTCCATTTGGTTTTAGGTAAATTATTAAAATATTTTACTCCAGGGTCCGACTCTATCGGAGGATCTGATCAATACAACCGTTTTTTTTTTGTTTTTTTTTCTAGTTTTTGTTCTTTTGTTTTGGTTCTTTAACATTCATCCATTTTTTGACTGTTTCTCTAATTTATCTTTTAACAGGATTTATAAAAAAAAAAAATTAGACCTTAGATTGGTGTTTAGATGGAAACTAGACCTGATTTTAAAACCTAAGGTTCAACAATCCAATTAATTATTTTTCTTCTTCTCATAAAACTGACATTTAAACAAAGTTTTTCAAAAGTCTTTCTATATGATGAAAATAAGGTTTAAACTAATGCAGATTTTACCAAATAAAGAAATAAACCAGTTTCCTTCAGCTCTCCATCCTGTAGTTTCATGACTTTATATCAGATGCAGACAATAAAACCCAACATGATGCTTTTCTCTGGGATTTAAATGATATATTTTAACATTTCTAACATGGAATAAAAGTGTCCCAAATGCAAAAGGTGAGTTTAATTTCTAGCATATTAATTTATTTTATTGCTATAAATATCAGTCTTTATTTTGTGCTCCCTACCTTCATTTTGAAAGCTTGATTTTAACTTCCTGTTTGTCTTCTGCGTTTCAGCTCAGGCCGCCTCCAGTCAGCTTCAGAGATATGGTACGAACAATCAGCTCCTTTAGACCTAAAACTGGTTTCATTTCACAGATTCAAACATCAAAATACATTTTATTTTTTTATCTTCACTATCATTTATTTTCATGTTTTTTATTTTATTAAATACCAATTAAATCAAATGAAATAGAAGCATAACCTGGGTAGAATTATTACGACAGAGTATTACAGCCAGGCTAGAGATTTATTTTCTTCTGTTGCGAGAATAAAGTCGTAACTTTGCGAGAATAAAGTTGTATTTTATACCAATTCTTCCCAGAATCCCTTTCTTCCCTAAAATGAGGAATGTGGAGCATCATGTGAAGTTCTACTTTAGCATCGGTTTGACAAATCAGGAAATCTTTTAGCAGCAGCATCAAACTGGGCAGGATGTCAAAGTGGACTCTGGTTGCTGATTGGTGGAGCTGGTCTGATGTCATCTGCTGGGCGGAGCTGTTTTAGAAAGCTTTCTTTCTGAAACCGGTTGATGTTTGATGACTTTTTTCTTGAAATAGAAGAAAAAAAATCTCTAGCCTAGCCCTAATACTCTGTTATAAATGATAACTTTTGGTACTTTGGATGAGAAATTATGTTTTCCAACATATTGTAATGAATTAACAAAATGTTTTAACAAAATTTTTATTGTTAACAATTGTCAACAAATCTCTTAATTTTTTTAACCTTCTTTAATTTTCCCCTATTCTGCTTGTTTCTATTTTCTAAGTATTGGTAAAAGCAGGACATCTAGATGCTACAATGTTTTCTGTATGGAGCCCAGAGTTTATGACCCGGGAAAAACTGTCAATCATGTTGCAGTGATGTCATAACTCAGATATCAAAAGAAGTACAGGATGCTCTTTTATTAGCAGCTAAAGTTAGCATGACGCTACATACTTTTAAATTTAGTTCAATTTATAGCACCGAGTTCACAACACATCATCTCAAGGCACTTTACAGTTCATCAGCATCCACTCGTTGACTCTTCAGCAATCCCTCACACTAAGCATGCTTGTAGCGACAGTGGAGAGGAAAAACTCCCTTTGAACAGGAACGTCCAGCATTTAGCTCTGCAGTCTAAATATTTGCATAAATGCTAATCACTTGGTATTTCCAAGCTTTAAGATCAGCTGATTAACTCTGAGTCTGATCTAATAGATGATGATCTATACACAAATTAGCAAATTTACAATATTCCAGACCAAAACGGTCATCTTAAAATAAATTTAGCCTTTTTTTTTTTTTTTTACCACAGTGGAAAATAGTTTATCAGTCAACAGATCTGGTATTCTTCATTTTACTGCCCTTTTGTTTTAAGATAAAAGTTTAACTTTTAATTGGCTTTAATGGCTTATGAGGAAATTAAATAAGTAATTTTTAAAAATCTGTGTAATAGTACATTTAAACTAAAGGAGATATTTCTGGATTGGATTCAGTGTCTGATACAGAAATGTAGGAAAAAATGAAAATGATTCATGTTTTTACTCTTCCAGGTCAGTTTGACCCCATCAATCCTCCAAGCTACGGTATTTATTTATTTATTGTTTAATGTTTTGAAGTTCTGACTTTATTTATATATATATTTTTTTAAGAAATAAAATCACATTAAAGTAAATAAATTCTATCTAGTCTGTTCAGTGTTGGGAATTTAGCATATTTTTTCATATGACGGGAAGTTTAATGTGAAAATGTCATTTTTTTTCTCGCAGATGTAACAGTGGGCGGGGCCACCAGCTCTCTGGTCGTCACGGCGACCCATCCGTTCACCGGGCAGCAGCCGGGCGACCTGAGCTTCCTTCCCGGGGACCGGATCACCGTCATCACCAAGACCGACTCCCAGTACGACTGGTGGGAAGGGAAACTGGACAACGGGAATGTTGGGATATTTCCCGCCAACTTTGTCACGTACTGACGTCGCCCCCTGGAGGTGGGATGGAGTGTTGGAGGAGCGAAAACTACAGGTTCTGAAGAAAAATGGAAGATTTCACTCTTAATGATGATCTTTTAAAAAAATTCATTCAGTAATTGACGGTTTTTATTCTCAGTCGTTCAGTATTTTGTCCGTACAGCAGAAACGTTTGTATAGTTTGTAGATCTGCGGGGATTTTAACCTTTTTTACCGGGTTTGGGTTTATTAGAATTTAAACACTTTGGAGCTAAAAACACTTTATTTTTTCAGGTTAATGAAGGTTTATTTTTAAACATTAAAAGTTAATATCTTCCGCTGCCTTTCATTAGTTCTAGATGTTGTATTTCTACAAGTATTACAGCAGAGGGGGGGTTAGACTCACAGGGCACAGTGGTTGTAATTTTAACCTCAGTCATCTAGAATGAGAAATGTTTAGTTATTGGTGAAAGTTTTAGAGAGAATAGGATTTAAATAGTTATTTCTGTTACAGATTGTGCTGTTGTGTTGGGTGTTGGTTTCTTGCCTGGAACATTGTTAATAAACTCAGTTTAAGGGTTAAATATTAATGTTGCTGCTTCTTGTCTGATGAATGTTTCAGAAAGTTGGATCTGTTAGAATAAAGAAACAGAATCTGGGAAATCCAGCTTTATGGAAAATAACATTTATAGTTGCTGCATTCAAAGGAAACACGATGAGATTCACGTAAAAAGGAAAATAGACAAAATAAAAGCAGTTTCTTCAACTAAAGGGTTCGTTAGCACCTTGCAACCTTAGACCCAAACCCCCCCCCCCCCCTTTATAGCACAAAACCCCTCTCCCATTATCTATTTTACAGACAGTGTTATGATCATTCTCAGTGAATTTACCTTAAAGTCGTTTGCTGCCAAATTAGATTTTATGCTGTTAAACTGAGCATAGGAGCAGAATAAAGCAAAAAATCCTCCTGGGCCATCCAACCTCCACCGTCTTTTATAAAATATCTTATAGACCTTTTCATCTGGCGCTCAGATTTCTAATTTCTATGTGGCACATATCTATTATTCCAGATAGGAGTTTGCTGGGGAGTAAAATTGTGCATGTAAATAAGTTTTTCAGCATAACGCTTGTTTTTGAAAGGAAGCGAGCTTCACGGGGAGTTTATCATCACTAGTTTTCAGAGATGGCAAAAGTACTCACTTTCCGTACTTGAGTAAAAGTACAGATACTTGTGTTAAAAAATACTCTGGTAAAAGTGGAAGTACTGATTAAACTTCTTTACTCAAGTAAAAGTAACAAAGTACAGGCTTGTAAATTTACTTAAAGTATCAAAGTAAAAGTAGAAACCACTTTTTTCATGCTGTTGCCTACATTTTAAATGGATGTCTGCCAATAGGACTAGATCTCCGTTGTGTTCATTTTCAATCATCTCGTCGTCCATGCTACTATGCTAACGCCACCGCCACCAAGCTGCAATGATTTGCCGCCAATGAATACCGCCGAATCTGTCGATTCATCTTGTAGCGGTGCGTCAAATGCAACGTAGATTCCCATCCAATTAGATTGAATTTGGTATTGATGACGTGAAAAATAATAACGGTAACTCCATTGAAATGATTCAAAACTAAAGTAACGAGACAATTTTTTAAAATGTAAGGAGTAGAAAGTACAGATATTTGTGTAAAAATGTAAGGAGTAGAAGTAAAAAGTCGCCATAAAAATAAGTAGTAAAGTAAAGTAAAAATATCAGAAAAATCTACTTGAGTACAGTAACGAAGTATTTGTACTTCGTTACTTCCCATCTCTGCTAGTTTTTACTTTAGAATAAACTGGTTTTAACGGAGCAGGAGAACCAGTCTCTTCTCACACAGACAGAGGTCAGACATCTTTTCCTGCAGATGATGCTGTAACTACAGGAATTAAACCTCAGCTCCTCACAAATGCAGTTAATTTATTTTTTTAACCAAAACACTAGAAAGAACACAAATTAAATCACGGCTCAAACTATAAACATGATTGAAATATCCTGATGCGCCCACTTTATATTTTGACCAGTTGGGGGCGCAGTTCCACCAGTTTAGTTGTTTCCATAGTGTTCAGGTCTCCATGAGTCCGGACCGGACCGTGTTTAGGAATGAGGTTCTGTCAGTGGAACCGGATCCGGGCTGCAGACGAACCAGCAGACTGTTTGTTCAGATCCGTTCATTTCAGCAATAAACACCAAGTCTTCTGTTTCCTCAGAAGAACCCAACCGTTTGATCCTAAGGTAGAATCCAACACAGACAATCGTTTTCCTCGTTAAAGGAACGGTGCGTCTGGTGTCTGGACGTCGACCTTCTCTGGTGGAGGAATCTCTGTGGTCTTGGTTTTCCTGACAACAATCAGAAGAGAACAGGCTGTCAGTAACAGTCGGTCACCGTTTGCCCTTTGACCTGGAGCTGTTCTCACCGTGGCCTCCAGAGGGCGCTGAAGCTGGCCGCTTGGTTCTTGGGCTGCCTGTTGCAGTCCTCCAACGAGTCGGGAAGCGGCACCCCGCTGGTTTCTGGGAGCAGGAGGCACAGGCCGCAGCCTACGATTGGTCCGCTGCTGTACACCACCATCGCAGCCAATGAGATGGCGCCGGTGGGGCTGGGCGGTACGAAGGTGGTGACCAGACAACCGAGGCGGTACGACAGGTTGACCAGAGATAAGCAGCGCTGTCTGGGGGCAGGAAGAGGAGGACGTTGGTGTCCCTTTACCCATCGGTTTATGACACTCAGCAGGATTTTAAACATTTTTCAGTCATTCTAGTTTAAAACATAAACACCCTGAAGCCAAGTGGATTTCAGACCTATTCAAACCTTCCTGCAGGATTCTCAGGCCGTTTCTCAATCTGTTTACTGAGCACACAATCTGTGTACCGGCTGACGTAGCGTTGGCCCGTCTACCACAGCGGCCGATGTTGGCCCATCTACGGCAGCGTTGGCCAACGTTGGCCCTTCTACGGCAGCGTTGGCCAACGTTGGCCCATCTACGGCAGCGTTGGCAGACGTTGGCCCGTCTACGGCAGCGTTGGCCCGTCTACGGCAGCGTTGGCCGGCGTTGGCCCGTCTACGGCAGCGTTGGCCGACGTTGGCCCGTCTAAGGCAGCGTTGGCCGGCGTTGGCCCGTCTACGGCAGCGTTGGCCGACGTTGGTCCTGGCTGCGGTTAGCCTCGGAGGTCCGCTGGTTGCTGCGGTCCTCTCATCTTCTGAAATGTTTTATAATTGCCTATTAAATCGGTAAAATAGGCCATATAGTGATGCTTAAAAGTATAATGGCCGTCTGCAGCAGCCAGGGCCAACGTTAGCCCGTGTGCGGCAGCCAGGGCCAACGTTAGCCCGTGTGCGGCAGCCAGGGCCAACGTTAGCCCGTGTGCGGCAGCCAGGGCCAACGTTAGCCCGTGTGCGGCAGCCAGGGCCAACGTTAGCCCGTGTGCGGCAGCCAGGGCCAACGTTAGCCCATGTGCGGCAGCCAGGCCCAACGTTAGCCCGTGTGCGGCAGCCAGGGCCAACGTTAGCCCGTGTGCGGCAGCCAGGCCCAACGTTAGCCCGTGTGCGGCAGCCAGGGCCAACGTTAGCCCGTGTGCGGCAGCCAGGGCCAACGTTAGCCCGTGTGCGGCAGCCAGGCCCAACGTTAGCCCGTGTGCGGCAGCCAGGGCCAACGTTAGCCCGTGTGCGGCAGCCAGGGCCAACGTTAGCCCGTGTGCGGCAGCCAGGCCCAACGTTAGCCCGTGTGCGGCAGCCAGGGCCAGCGTTAGCCCGTGTGCGGCAGCCAGGGATGAGAACAAAGAAAGGATTTAGGCCTGAAACAAACCCGACGCTGACATGTTTAGTTTGGAGCTTCAGCATCAATAGTGAGTTCACCCCTAAAGCCCAGAGAGGCTTAGCAGCAAATTCCACCTGAAATGACATCTGAATTAAAGCAAGTTCAGCTCCCTAACTACACATTGGAAATACAATAGTTTGTATTTGTGTGACAGGAAGGCGTTGAGGAATATCTATCAGGTGGAACCACTATTTTAAATGTCACCATGTCTGATTTCTAGGTGATTAAACGAAGGAAAAATTTGAAATATTTAGCAAATTTTCCAAAATAAACACCATGAAAGCCCATTTGAGGCCCCGTCACACCTGGCTTATTTAGCCAGCGTCTGCCACACGTCGCAGGACGCTGCCATACACTGAACGCTGCCTTACGCTGAACGCTGCCATATGCTGAACGCTGCCATACGCTCAACTTTCTATGGATTTTTTTCATTTTAGACGTATACATGGAGTATTCAGAACTAGTCCAGAACTTCTGTCCAACAACTTCTAACTTGTGTTTTGGCCATTTCTATAAATGGATGCTGTCAGCTGGGCCCGTTACCGGGCCAACCGGGCTTAAAGGGTTAGAGGTTTTTAAGAAACTCCGCAAAGACAAGTAGATCTGAGTTAAGCTGCAGGTCATCTAGCCGTCATGTGGAGACTCCAGTCATCAGCGTAGCTTTTAAACCTTTTTTTCAGCCACACATTTCTAATAAACTCTTTAGAAAATGTTTCTTTCCCACGACTGATCAAGAATAACTAAATGTTTCTGCTAAAAACTCTTCATCTGAGTTCAGAGATGAATAAACACAGTAATCTGGGTTTAAAATCCTCCCTCTGTGTGAAGAACCAGGACTGAACTAATGAACTAGACTCCACCCATCCTCAGACGGGTTGCTATGGTAACGGGTACCTGACCACGGTAGGAAACAGCTCGATGCAGTACAGGACGGAGATGAAGGTCGCCGCCAGGATGCACAGCTTCCCCAGCAGAGCCAGACTCATGACCAGCGCCGGCGTTCCTGCAGGAACACGGAAACAGGGATCAAAAACCATCCAGGAACTCTATGCATGGGCGGTTCCAGACAGGGGCCGACGGGGGCCAGTGCCCCTGTAGATCATGTCTACTGATGACATAATACTCAAATAAATTCTAATGATGATCTGCGCTGGAACAGACATGGTTACTGATGGGTCCTTTGGATCTATTTCATTTTTTTTTTCTTTTTTAATAAATTCAGTTTTACTAATTATTTAAAAACAATAAGGTGAAAGCTTCAGTGGTACTGAGATAGGATACCAGTTTTCATCTGCTAAATGTTTTTTTTTCAAAAATACAAAACAAATACCCTTTACAAAATACTTTTAGGGCTGAAATTATCGGTTTTTTCTTGAGTTCTAATCCTTATTTTATGGTCATTCAAAAGTTCAAAATATGTAAAATTCCTAAATTCTTAATGTATATTGACCTAATATTCCAAATAATAGCTTATTTGGGAGGGGGTGGCGGCCTAGTGGTTAGGGCATAGGGCTTTGAATCCTTTGATTGTGAGTTTGATCCTCCACTCCCCCAGACTGCCACTCTGGGTCCCTGAGCAAGACCCTTAATCCCCACATGTTCCCCAGGCACCACACAATGGCAGCTGAGAAAAAAGTTGTTTTTTTCACAGAATTTTCTGACTTTAATCTCAGAATTCTGACTTTAATCTGAGAATTGTGGATCTTAATGCTGATGGGCGCCATGAAGGCAGAGATGTGGAGCTCTCAGCTTCAGTTGTTTGAGAGAAACAGGAACACATTGGTGGAAAATGATGGAATTAGGCGTCTTTTTCCATCCCTGAGGGTCAGTGGTGATGCTATTTGATTAATGGAAGAGCAGAAGGTCATTAAAACAAGAGAGCTAGTCTCTAAAACAGACATGGCTACGGCTGGATGCTAACATGTTTGTTATCTGTCAGATTTAAGTCAGAATTCTCAGATTAAAGTCAGAATTCCTTCTTTAATCTTAGAATTCTTACCTTTTCCCATATTAAACGGAAATAATATTTAAAAACGTGAATGTTTTTTTTTTTTTTTTCCAGTGGCCCTAATCTTCTTCCGTACAAATGAACATTTTCAAGCCAAAAATAAATATTTTCAGTTGGAAGACATTTTTAATTAAACTAACTGAAAGGAAATATCACTTCATGCAGCTCTCTCAATATATTTGATACCTTGCCTCGTTTTTTTTTTTTTTTTTTTGCTTCATGCTTTTCTGTGCCCCCATTTGGTCTAGAACCGCTGCTGACCCCATGGCTATGAAAGCAGCACCTATAGGAGTCATGGAGTAAAAGCAAAGAAAATGCCTTCTAGATCGTAATCCCAGTAAAGGATTTAATCTGGTGTGTCAGCAGGGATATGAATGATGCCAGACGGAGTGAAATGTTTGCACGGCTTTCCTGCTGCTGCTCACCGTGGTATCTGGACAGCAGCAGTGATACGAGGCAGGCGCTTCCGCTCAGGAACAGAGCCAACATGCAGATGAGCCGCCGCCCCATCCGAACCAAAGGGACCAGCAGGCAGGGGGCCTCCGACAGGCCGGAGAAGAACTGGGCGGCGTAAACGCCAACGCCGAACGAGCCGATGTTCAGGCAGATCCCGTAGTAGGTCAGGGCGGTGGCGGCGCTGCAGGGAGACGGGAGGGAACTGGAGTTAGAGCTTACCCAGCGCTACCATCCATGTTTACTTCCGTAAACACGAAGCACGCCTTAGAGACTCTCTCAATCTAGACTCGTATAACTCAGAGTTCATCACTAATGTATTCAAACTTCAAATCCAAAATTTCTATTCAAACCTCTTAGATTAGCTTTTGATGTTTGTGCTACATGGCGGGGTATTAGGGCCAGGCGAGAGATTTTGTTTTCTTCTATTTCAAGAATAAAGTAAACTCGTAATATTAAGAGAATAAAGTCCTAAAATTATGATAAACAAGTTGCATTTTATGACAACTGCTAAAAGAAGCCATTTGTTCCCTAAAATGAGGAATGTGGAGCATCGTGTAAAGTTCTACTTTAGCATCGGTTTGACAAATCAGGAAATCTTTTAGCAGCAGCATCAAACTGGACTCTGGTTTATTCTCGTAATATTCCGACTTTATCCTGGTATATAAAGTCGTAAACTGGCCCTAATACTGGGTCGTAGTGCTGAGATGAAAGCTCCCAGGTCGTCTAATTAAAGCGTCCCTGCAGTCTGGATGCTTGTTTTTATTCTCTGTTGGTTTGTCTGGATTTTCAGGTTTTAAGTCAGGATGACTTCAATCGTTCGGTTATCAGAGAATCGACCGGGACACGCATCTCCTCTGCAGTTTGACCTACTTCTGTAAATCTTTCGTGCAAAACAACAATCTGATTCCTTTTTTATGAGCAGAGATGCATTTAAAGAACAGAACATGTTCAGAATTTAAGTATAAAGTGTCTCCTGCTCCCTGTTCAACCTTTCCCCTGTTTTGTTCCCTTTCTGCTGTTTGTTAAACACGTCTTAACAAGTCAGACGTTTGAACAGTGAGGTTTGCATATTTCCGCCTCGGCGTCGGTTTTCTTCAGAATAACGGACCTGATCTCCAGTTTGGACCTGAGCTGCTTTGCTGCAGTGAACTTTAGCAGAACTGCTTCAATAATTCATGGAGTTGGCTCCTCACATCATATCTGCACGTGTTCCACCTCCTAGAAACAGTGACTGATAAGTGTTTCTTGCATAACTTTGATTATTGCATAACTAGAGTTGCGTAACAGCGGCTGATAGGTGCAGCTTTGGGACGGTGTGGTTCTCAGTGTTTTGACAAACTACAGTCAAAGTTCATGGATGCTTTAATTATCTGGTTCGACTTTAATATGGGAGCAATATTGTTGCAAAATTATTTGCACGTGTGGAGAGTTGTGTGTCTTTATCTCGATTTGTGTGTGCAGCGGGATTTGAAAATGTGTAAATAAATCTGGAAATGTGTGAGGAGATTAGTGTGTCTGCAACAATCTGCAAATGTGGAAAACTAGTAACTAGTGTGTTTAATCCGGTTTACAAATTTGTAAAAAAAAACAACAAAAAGCACAAATCTGTGTTCAGATCTACAAATTCTCGACTGAAGCTGTCCCCCGAAATGTCCCAGATTTGACGGTTTTATGAATGGGGAGGGGGGGATTGTTATTACGGTAGGAAGAGCGTGTGAGCATGCTGCCACCAGGAAAAACAGTTAGCTTATGGGAGCACGTAGAGACGAGGAGCAGAGCGCAACACTTTTAAAACACATTTGCTGATCTTAGTGGATTTTAGTGCACATTTGCTGATCATAATGCACATTTGCAGATCATAGTGCACATTTGCAGATCATAGTGCACATTTGCAGATCTTAGTGCACATTTGCAAATCTTAGTGCACATTTATAGATCATAGTGCACATTTGTAGATCTTAGTGCACATTTGCTGATCATAGTGCACATTTGCTGATCATAGTGCACATTTGCTGATCATAGTGCACATTTGCAGATCTTAGTGCACATTTATAGATCTTAGTGCACATTTGTAGATCATAGTGCACATTTGTAGATCATAGTGCACATTTGTAGATCATAGTGCACATTTGCTGATCATAGTGCACATTTGCAGATCTTAGTGCACATTTATAGATCTTAGTGCACATTTATAGATCATAGTGCACATTTGTAGATCTTAGTGCACGTTTGCTGATCATAGTGCACATTTGCTGATCAAAGTGCACATTTGCAGATCTTAGTGCACATTTGTAGATCTTAGTGCACATTTGCTGATCATAGTGCACATTTGTAGATAATAGTGCACATTTGTAGATAATAGTGCACATTTGCTGATCATAGTGCACATTTGCAGATCTTAGTGCACATTTGTAGATCTTAGTGCACATTTGCTGATCATAGTGCACATTTGCAGATCTTAGTGCACATTTGCAGATCTTAGTGCACATTTGCAGATCTTAGTGCACATTTCTAGATCTTAGTGCACATTTGTAGATCTTAGTGCACATTTGCAGATCTTAGTGCACATTTGCAGATCTTAGTGCACATTTGCAGATCTTAGTGAACATTTGCAGATCTTAGTGCACATTTGCAGATCTTAGTGAACATTTGCAGATCTTAGTGCACATTTGCAGATCTTAGTGCACATTTGCAGATCTTAGTGAACATTTGCAGATCTTAGTGCACATTTATAGATCATAGTGCACATTTGTAGATCTTAGTGCCCATCTGCTGATCTCAGTGCACATTTGTAGATCTTAGTGCACATTTGTAGATCTCAGTGCACATTTGCAGATCATAGTGCACATTTGTAGATCTTAGTGCACATTTGCAGATCATAGTGCACATCTGCTGATCATAGTGCACATTTGTAGATCTTAGTGCACATCTGCTGATCTCAGTGCACATCTGCTGATCAAAGTGCACATCTGCTTATCATAGTGCACATCTGCTGATCATAGTGCACATTTGTAGATCTCAGTGCACATTTGCAGATCAAAGTGCACATTTGCAAATCTTTGTGCACATTTGCAGATCTTTGTGCACATTTGCTGATCTTTGTGCACATTTGTAGATCTCAGTGCACATTTGCAGATCATAGTGCACATTTGTAGATCTTAGTGCACATTTGCAGATCAAAGTGCACATCTGCTGATCATAGTGCACATCTGCTGATCATAGTGCAGATTTGTAGATCTTAGTGCACATCTGCTGATCTCAGTGCACATCTGCTGATCATAGTGCACATTTGTAGATCATACTGCACATTTGTAGATCTCAGTGCACATTTGCAGATCAAAGTGCACATCTGCTGATCATAGTGCAGATTTGTAGATCAAAGTGCACATCTGCTGATCTCAGTGCACATCTGCTGATCATAGTGCACATTTGTAGATCATACTGCACATTTGTAGATCTCAGTGCACATTTGCAGATCAAAGTGCACATCTGCTGATCATAGTGCACATCTGCTGATCATAGTGCACATTTGTAGATCTTAGTGCACATCTGCTGATCTCAGTGCACATCTGCTGATCATAGTGCACATTTGTAGATCTCAGTGCACATTTGCAGATCAAAGTGCACATTTGCAAATCTTTGTGCACATTTGCAAATCTTTGTGCACATTTGCAGATCTTTGTGCACATCTGCTGATCATAGTGCACATTTGTAGATCATACTGCACATTTGTAGATCTCAGTGCACATTTGCAGATCAAAGTGCACATCTGCTGATCATAGTGCACATCTGCTGATCATAGTGCACATCTGCTGATCATAGTGCACATTTGTAGATCATACTGCACATTTGTAGATCATACTGCACATTTGTAGATTTCAGTGCACATTTGCAGATCAAAGTGCACATCTGCTGATCATAGTGCACATTTGTAGATCATACTGCACATTTGTAGATCTCAGTGCACATTTGCAGATCAAAGTGCACATCTGCTGATCATAGTGCACATCTGCTGATCATAGTGCACATTTGTAGATCATACTGCACATTTGTAGATCTCAGTGCACATTTGCAGATCAAAGTGCACATCTGCTGATCATAGTGCACATCTGCTGATCATAGTGCACATTTGTAGATCTTAGTGCACATCTGCTGATCTCAGTGCACATCTGCTGATCATAGTGCACATTTGTAGATCAAAGTGCACATCTGCTGATCATAGTGCACATCTGCTGATCATAGTGCACATTTGTAGATCTTAGTGCACATCTGCTGATCTCAGTGCACATCTGCTGATCATAGTGCACATTTGTAGATCTCAGTGCACATTTGCAGATCAAAGTGCACATCTGCTGATCATAGTGCACATCTGCTGATCATAGTGCACATTTGTAGATCTCAGTGCACATTTGCAGATCAAAGTGCACATTTGCAAATCTTTGTGCACATTTGCAAATCTTTGTGAACATTTGCAGATCTTTGTGCACATTTGCAGATCTTTGTGAACATTTGCAGATCTTAGTGCACATTTGCAGATCTTAGTGAACATTTGCAGATCTTAGTGCACATTTGCAGATCTTTGTGAACATTTGCAGATCTTAGTGCACATTTGCAGATCTTAGTGAACATTTCAAATCTTCCTGTACATTTACAGAACTTAGTGCACATTTGCAGATCTTTGTGAACATTTGCAGATCTTTGTGAACATTTGTAGATCTCAGTGCACATTTGCAGATCAAAGTGCACATTTGCAAATCTTTGTGAACATTTGCAGATCTTTGTGCACATTTGCAGATCTTTGTGAACATTTGCAGATCTTTGTGCACATTTGCAGATCTTTGTGAACATTTGCAGATCAAAGTGCACATTTGCAGATCAAAGTGCACATCTGCTGATCATAGTGCACATCTGCTGATCATAGTGCACATTTGTAGATCATACTGCACATTTGTAGATCTCAGTGCACATTTGCAGATCATAGTGCACATCTGCTGATCATAGTGCACATTTGTAGATCTTAGTGCACATCTGCTGATCTCAGTGCACATCTGCTGATCATAGTGCACATTTGTAGATCTCAGTGCACATCTGCTGATCATAGTGCACATTTGTAGATCTCAGTGCACATTTGCAGATCAAAGTGCACATTTGCAAATCTTTGTGCACATTTGCAAATCTTTGTGCACATTTGCAGATCTTTGTGCACATCTGCTGATCATAGTGCACATTTGTAGATCATACTGCACATTTGTAGATCTCAGTGCACATTTGCAGATCAAAGTGCACATCTGCTGATCATAGTGCACATCTGCTGATCATAGTGCACATCTGCTGATCATAGTGCACATTTGTAGATCTTAGTGCACATCTGCTGATCTCAGTGCACATCTGCTGATCATAGTGCACATTTGTAGATCTCAGTGCACATTTGCAGATCTTAGTGCACATTTGCAGATCTTAGTGCACATTTGCTGATCATAGTGCACATTTGCAGATCTTAGTGCACATTTGCAGATCTTAGTGCACATTTATAGATCTTAGTGCACATTTATAGATCATAGTGCACATTTATAGATCATAGTGCACATTTGTAGATCTTAGTGCCCATCTGCTGATCTCAGTGCACATTTGTAGATCTTAGTGCACATTTGTAGATCTCAGTGCACATTTGCAGATCATAGTGCACATTTGTAGATCTTAGTGCACATTTGCAGATCATAGTGCACATCTGCTGATCATAGTGCACATTTGTAGATCTTAGTGCACATCTGCTGATCTCAGTGCACATCTGCTGATCAAAGTGCACATCTGCTTATCATAGTGCACATCTGCTGATCATAGTGCACATTTGTAGATCTCAGTGCACATTTGCAGATCAAAGTGCACATTTGCAAATCTTTGTGCACATTTGCAGATCTTTGTGCACATTTGCTGATCTTTGTGCACATTTGTAGATCTCAGTGCACATTTGCAGATCATAGTGCACATTTGTAGATCTTAGTGCACATTTGCAGATCAAAGTGCACATCTGCTGATCATAGTGCACATCTGCTGATCATAGTGCAGATTTGTAGATCTTAGTGCACATCTGCTGATCTCAGTGCACATCTGCTGATCATAGTGCACATTTGTAGATCATACTGCACATTTGTAGATCTCAGTGCACATTTGCAGATCAAAGTGCACATCTGCTGATCATAGTGCAGATTTGTAGATCAAAGTGCACATCTGCTGATCTCAGTGCACATCTGCTGATCATAGTGCACATTTGTAGATCATACTGCACATTTGTAGATCTCAGTGCACATTTGCAGATCAAAGTGCACATCTGCTGATCATAGTGCACATCTGCTGATCATAGTGCACATTTGTAGATCTTAGTGCACATCTGCTGATCTCAGTGCACATCTGCTGATCATAGTGCACATTTGTAGATCTCAGTGCACATTTGCAGATCAAAGTGCACATTTGCAAATCTTTGTGCACATTTGCAAATCTTTGTGCACATTTGCAGATCTTTGTGCACATCTGCTGATCATAGTGCACATTTGTAGATCATACTGCACATTTGTAGATCTCAGTGCACATTTGCAGATCAAAGTGCACATCTGCTGATCATAGTGCACATCTGCTGATCATAGTGCACATCTGCTGATCATAGTGCACATTTGTAGATCATACTGCACATTTGTAGATCATACTGCACATTTGTAGATTTCAGTGCACATTTGCAGATCAAAGTGCACATCTGCTGATCATAGTGCACATTTGTAGATCATACTGCACATTTGTAGATCTCAGTGCACATTTGCAGATCAAAGTGCACATCTGCTGATCATAGTGCACATCTGCTGATCATAGTGCACATTTGTAGATCATACTGCACATTTGTAGATCTCAGTGCACATTTGCAGATCAAAGTGCACATCTGCTGATCATAGTGCACATCTGCTGATCATAGTGCACATTTGTAGATCTTAGTGCACATCTGCTGATCTCAGTGCACATCTGCTGATCATAGTGCACATTTGTAGATCAAAGTGCACATCTGCTGATCATAGTGCACATCTGCTGATCATAGTGCACATTTGTAGATCTTAGTGCACATCTGCTGATCTCAGTGCACATCTGCTGATCATAGTGCACATTTGTAGATCTCAGTGCACATTTGCAGATCAAAGTGCACATCTGCTGATCATAGTGCACATCTGCTGATCATAGTGCACATTTGTAGATCTCAGTGCACATTTGCAGATCAAAGTGCACATTTGCAAATCTTTGTGCACATTTGCAAATCTTTGTGCACATTTGCAGATCTTTGTGCACATTTGCTGATCTTTGTGAACATTTGCAGATCTTAGTGCACATTTGCAGATCTTAGTGAACATTTGCAGATCTTAGTGCACATTTGCAGATCTTTGTGAACATTTGCAGATCTTAGTGCACATTTGCAGATCTTAGTGCACATTTGCAGATCTTTGTGAACATTTGCAAATCTTTGTGCACATTTGCAGATCTTTGTGAACATTTGCAGATCTTTGTGCACATTTGTAGATCTCAGTGCACATTTGCAGATCAAAGTGCACATTTGCAAATCTTTGTGAACATTTGCAGATCTTTGTGCACATTTGCAGATCTTTGTGAACATTTGCAGATCTTTGTGCACATTTGCAGATCTTTGTGAACATTTGCAGATCAAAGTGCACATTTGCAGATCAAAGTGCACATCTGCTGATCATAGTGCACATCTGCTGATCATAGTGCACATTTGTAGATCATACTGCACATTTGTAGATCTCAGTGCACATTTGCAGATCATAGTGCACATCTGCTGATCATAGTGCACATTTGTAGATCTTAGTGCACATCTGCTGATCTCAGTGCACATCTGCTGATCATAGTGCACATTTGTAGATCTCAGTGCACATCTGCTGATCATAGTGCACATTTGTAGATCTCAGTGCACATTTGCAGATCAAAGTGCACATTTGCAAATCTTTGTGCACATTTGCAAATCTTTGTGCACATTTGCAGATCTTTGTGCACATCTGCTGATCATAGTGCACATTTGTAGATCATACTGCACATTTGTAGATCTCAGTGCACATTTGCAGATCAAAGTGCACATCTGCTGATCATAGTGCACATCTGCTGATCATAGTGCACATCTGCTGATCATAGTGCACATTTGTAGATCTTAGTGCACATCTGCTGATCTCAGTGCACATCTGCTGATCATAGTGCACATTTGTAGATCTCAGTGCACATTTGCAGATCAAAGTGCACATCTGCTGATCATAGTGCACATCTGCTGATCATAGTGCACATTTGTAGATCTCAGTGCACATTTGCAGATCAAAGTGCACATTTGCAAATCTTTGTGCACATTTGCAAATCTTTGTGCACATTTGCAGATCTTTGTGCACATTTGCTGATCTTTGTGCACATTTGTAGATCTCAGTGCACATTTGCAGATCAAAGTGCACATCTGCTGATCATAGTGCACATCTGCTGATCATAGTGCACATTTGTAGATCTTAGTGCACATCTGCTGATCTCAGTGCACATCTGCTGATCATAGTGCACATTTGTAGATCTCAGTGCACATTTGCAAATCTTTGTGCACATTTGCAAATCTTTGTGCACATTTGCAGATCTTTGTGCACATTTGCTGATCTTTGTGCACATTTGTAGATCTGAATACAGATTTGTGGATTTTTTACATATTTGCAAACCAGATAACGAACACATGTAGTTTTACACATTTGCAGATTTTGCTACAAACACAAATCTCTTCACACATTTCTAGATTTATTTCACATTTTAAATCCTGCTGCACACACAAAAATCGAGATAAAGACGCACAACTCTCCACACATTTGCAAATAATTTTGCAACAATATTGCTGCCATACTTTTAGCGCCGGATCATCGGACACCATGAGATCCGTTCACCCCCGTTAATCTCTACTGGAAGCCAAAATCCGTACCTGAGGTAGCTCATGATGAACAGCCGCAGCAGGATAGTCGGGTGCCTCAGGTGGGTGAGGTCACTCGGCCCGCGGCCGCCGGCGGTAGCCGTTGGCACCTGAGCTTCGGCGGCTCTCTGCAGGTCGGAGGAGGCGGCGTCCAGCAGCTGAACGGAAACACATCCGTTTAAACCGGCCGCCTGAAGCAGGACTGTTAGATTCTACAGCCAGACGGTTTTACCAGGTCCAGACACTTTTTATCTGCGGTGCTGTTGCTACGGTAACTCTCTAAAACATCCTTTCTCCTCTGCAGCAGCAGCCAGCGAGGGGACTCTGGGATGGATCTGGAAACACGGAGAGAGAATAAAATAAAAGGAGATCGGGATAAAGATGGCGGGGGGGGGGCGGGGAGGGGACGCACAGGTAGAGAGGCAGGCAGACGATCTGCGGCAGGGACAGACACAGGTGCAGGTATGTCCAGGTGGGGCTCAGCCAGGCCAGCGGCGCTCCGCCCATCGTTCCCAGGCTAAAGCAGAACGGCAGGAAGGCGGGGGGCCAGAGGCGAGCGGCCGGGAGGGTCCACTCTACGGCTGCCGGACAAGCACAGCAGGGAAAGAGCTGAACAAAGGCCCATCCAGCTGAGACAGGTGGGAACCATCAGACAGAGCTGCTGGTTTCCAGCTTCAGCATCATCATCATCATCATCTTTCTAACATTTCTACTTTCATCATTTACGGAAATGGGACAAAAAAAGCTAAAGGTCTGCGTGAACTAAAAACAGAAACATTATGTCGCTGCATAGGTCAAAGGTCACACAGAGCTCAGTCACTAGCTGGATCCAATTCTATTCAGTTTATTTCTATAGCTCCAATTCACATCATGTCATCTCAGGTCACTTTCCAGTTCACCAGATCATCCAGTCAGATTGATTCAAAGTTTTCTATTTAAGGAAAACCAGTTGATTGCATCGACTCATTGACTCTTCAGCAATCCCTCACACTAAGCATGCTTGTAGCGACAGTGGAGAGGAAAAACTCCCTTTGAACAGGAAGAAACCTCCAGCTGGATCCAATAATAATTCAGTATCAGCTCTAAAGACGAGGGTTGTTTGCTTTTGTTTCATTTTACATTTCAGGATTATTTGCACTTTAAAATAATAATTTAAAAAACCTTAAAATATTGTCAAACTATTAATATATACATATATTTTTATTTTATTTAGACAAATTTCCATCGCATTCAGTAATTACAGCTTTACCTATTTAAGATCGTATCTGAAGATATAAACAGAAAGTCCAGATGATTTAGTTGTAACGATAACAAAAATAGACAGAATTGAACAATAAGGGGGATTGCACCGCTTCGAGCAATGAAACCACAAAGTCATAAGAAATATCACAAGAACAATCAAATGAAGTAGGATAGAATTGGTTTTAGGTACTCAGCCCATTTGGTCCCAATCTTATAAAAATTTTCCTTTTTTAACTTGAAGGGAAAAAGTACAACAGAGTATTAGGACCAGGCTAGAGATGTTTTTTAATTCTATTTTGAGAATAAAGTCGTAACATTACGAGAATAAAGTTCTAAAATTACGAAAATAAAGTCATAAAATTATGAGAAAGTTATGACTTTATTCTCGTAATTTTTACGACTTTACTCTCGAAGTAAGGAAAAAAAGAAGTCTGGCCTCACCCTAATACTCCGTCGTGCCACATGGAAACATGTCAGTTCTTAATGTTTGAGGAAACGAATGACTAATGTAGACGGAATGCGGTTTAATTATCGATGTGGAGATGTAAACAAGTCCTGAGTGGACCATGTGGCAGGGTGTTCAGGCCCTTTGCTAACCGCTTAACTAGTGTTTTATTGCCTGAACCAGAACGGACTCAGGATCCCAACTAATGGTTGGATTACACACAATTAAAAAATATTACATTAATTATAGGTTTAATAGTAAGAAAATGGGACATTTTGCTTTAGTTAGTGGCTCAGGTTATCCTGAGCTATCTCTATAGTTCTGCTGCTATAGGCTTAGACTGCTGGAGGACATAGGGACCCCTTTTTCATCATTCTGCTTCTTCTATCTGATTGAAATGATCTTACAGGTGATGGATTTAATTACGGTTAATAAAGCTTTTCAGAGGAGCAGACTCTGATCGGGTCAGGTTGATCTGAACCTCCAACCTGAGATTAGAGCAACTTAAACTCCTTCGCTAAGGAACAGCTAAACATCAGGACCTTATTGGGTGTGATGTCGGTGTTACCCAGGCTGAAGGCGCAGATGTTGATGCAGCAGCAGCAAACCGCCGTCAGGCAGCGGATGGCGAGGAAGAGGAGCGGCTGAGGAAAAACGGCAGGCAGCAGGCCGCAGAAGGCGTGCAGACAGGCGCACGCCAGCAGAACCGGACGTTTCCCGTACCTGCAGAGGAATCATCCTGCAGGTAAGAGAATGAATGACCGTGCTGACGGGATATGAGTGAGTGCAGGTGGGTGTACCTGTCTGAAATGGCTCCTCCCACCAGAGATCCCAGCAGCAATCCCACCATGTAGGCAGTCTGACCATAAGACAACCAGTCTGTCCAACCGCACACTGTCTGACACAGATACATGTCTGATCAGTGAGTGATGAACATCAGGGGGCATTTAAAAAAAGACATTTAGGTAGAAACTCAGTAAATCTCATTTGAGTTTCTGCTCCATAAAAACAGGAAACTTTCACCTCCTTTCAGAGTCTTAATTAGTATGACTGAGTCTTTTTTTTTTATTTCGAGAATAAAGTCATAAAATTACGAGAGTAAAATTGTAAAATTAAGAGAATAGAGTCTTAGAATTTTGAGAAAAAAACATAAAATTACGAGAATAAAGTCGTAAAATGACAAAGTCGCAATATCACAAGAATAAAGTTTTAAAATTTCGAGGATAAAGTCATAAAATTACGAGAATAAAGTTGTAAAGTTGTAAAATTAAGAGAATAAAGTCTTAGAATTTTGAGAAAAAGCCATAAAATTATGAGAATAAAGTAGTAAAATTACATAAAGTCGCAATATTACGAGAAAAGTTTTAATATTATGAGAAACAAGTTGTATTTTATAACGACTCTTACTATAAGTACTTTCTTCCCTAAAATGAGGAATGTGGTTTATCTCAAAATAAAAGAAAAAATTTTAAATCTCTATCCTGGCCTTAACACTCCGTCGTATAATTGGAGCTCAAAGATGCGTCTAAAGTTAACAGGTCACCTTTCATCTGTCTATAATGTGAAGCTATCATCTCTGCTAATCAAAGCTCTGCAGCACCTGGTTCTAAAGTGAGTTTAAAAATTCATCATTTTAACGTCTGGGTTTAACATTTCAGGCGAAAATCTAAAAAGTTATGTAAAAGTCCCTGGAGTAAAGTCCAGACTGTAAACCTTTGGAACTTTATTTCATTTATTCATCAGGGAGGACATTCTTCACCACATCTTCAAACATGTTTCTGTTTAACAAATCAACCTTTCCCTTTTTAACAGGAAGTAATAGAAGGTTGACCAATGAGATTTCTTTAAGAGGAAACCCTCAGCTTTAAGTACGCTGACCAGTCGTCCCAGATTTCAGGGGACAGTCCCCGTTTTGGACAATTTTACAGTTATTATGAATGAGGGGGGTAAACTGTTATTACAGTAGAAAGAGCGTGCTGCGCGCAGAAACAACTGTTAGCATATAGACCAGGATCAGAGCGTCACTTTTAATCCCTTAAACCCTGAGGGTCTCAGGAGAAAATTCCATAATTTGAATTAAAGCAAGTTTACCCCCCCAAACTATAAGTTGGAAATACAATTGTTTGTATTTTTGTGACAAAAAGGCGTTGAGGAAAATTTTTCAGGAAACTTTTAAATGTCACCATGTCTGATTTATAGGTGATTAAACAAAAATATTTAGCCTCACTAAAAAAAAATTTCCAAAATAAACACAGCAAAACACCATAAAACTCCATCTGAAACCCTGGAAGAACCCTCAGAGTTTATAGATCCACATATTGACTACAAGTCAAGCAAAATGGGAGTGGGAGAATAGAGATAGAATGAAGCAGAATGATGAAAAAGGGGTCCCTATGTCCTCCAGCAGTCTAAGCCTATAGCAGCAGAACTATAGAGATAGCTCAGGATAACCTGAGCCACTCTAACTAGAAGCTTCATCAAAAAGATCCACATCTTTACTATAACTAAAGCAAATCTGTGCTGAATAAGTTGAAGCATTTTTGTTCCATAAAGGTTTAAGTGGGCAGTGCGCTAGGCGGAAATGGGATTTTTGCACAATGCAAAATTGCATTTTTTTACTCATAATATGGAATCTGGTCAGACGAACATGCTGATTTCCTTTATTGGAGACCTTCTGCATGAGACAAAGCATTTTGCTTCTAAGATTTGATTTATTGAAATGTACAAATAATATCACCAAACCGAATAGGTCTGAGCCTCTAGTTTCCAATGATGGCGGCCATTAGGGGGCGGGGCTAAAAATGAATACCTGCTGTTGCATTTATCCCGCAGAGTCACACGTCTCAGGTGGAATTTTAAATCTCATTTTATTTGTTTACGCATCTATAAAACGAAAAGTTTTATGCGTTTCATGTAGAACATGTTTTAGAAATTTTACAGCCCTATTTGAAAGGCGTGTGGACGAAACACCATGTGACTGGGTTTTGGTCATTTCTATACATAGATAAACATATGCTGTGTTACAGTGAGAGTGTTATTGGTTCATTTGATCTGAATTGAGCTGATTACTGGGATAAATCCTTGATTTGTGCCCAGGTAATAAAAAAAATGGCTTTGATGTGTTTGTTTTACTAAAGATGAGGACCGGAAATGTAGCAAAAGGTGAGATAAAACATTGGCTGCAACCGGAATGAGGAAATAGACTCAGATAAAATGAAACAGAATGATTGAAAACACGTTTGATATAATTTAATCTGAATATAAAATGAACTAAACTGTTTTAATATTGACACAGATTTTAATACAGGCAGCTGAAGGCTACCCAATGCACTGCAGCTGTCCAGGATACAATATAAATAAACTGGAGGCCTTTTCATTTTATAGTTATCATTATTTAGAAAAAATATGTTTTTCAAATTTTATATATAAACAAAAGTTTAATTTACAGTTTTTGGAATGGAAACAGAGCGAAATTCCCACAAACTCTGTACTGATAAACAGGATCGATTAATTAATGTTATTAATCATGGATTTTTACACTAGATTAGACATTAGGAAATGTGTAAAAATGGATGAAAGCATCTCTCTCCCAGTTTCCTGTTGAATTTTTCCTGAAATGTGTTTATTTTTATCTACCAGCTGGAAATGTCCCCCAGATTAGCTTTCAGAAATCTGGCCCCCTCAGCTATCAGTGAACTTCAGCACTGATGTATTGACACATCGGAAGCCTGTTGGAGCCTTCAGACCCCACTGCATTCAATCTGTTAAAGGGGGAGGGGGGTGCACAGGATTAAACCAATCGATGGGGGTCAGACCTTTGAGACTGGGTGCTGACAGCAGCGAGTAATCCTCTCCACGCGGCGTCTTGTCTATAAACACCCCACCCTCAGTCAGGGGAATTTAGTGGCCTTGCAGGTGAAACAGGCTTTTAGTGAGTAAATAACATAAATCAATATATGAAATAAGAGAAATCTAAGTTTTCTGAACAAACTTGTCTACAGTGAAAAGAAGGACTGGGTTATTTACTTTGGCCTTTTTGGAAACACAGGAAGGAGCAATCAGCTAAGTGAGCTTAGTGCTTGGAAAAAATCTTTCATTCCTTTAGAGACAGCATGAAAAGTAAAAAAAAAAAAAAAAAGGTGATAGCTTCATCGGTATTGAGAGAGGATCCCACTTTTAATCTGCCAAATGTTTTTTTCAAAAGAATTTTTTTATACTCTAATTTTTATGGCTGAATTTATTAGTTTTTCTTCTGTTCTAATTCAGATTGCTGTATCTGTATAATGGGTCTGTTTTATGTGTTTTCTCAATTAAAAGGGCCCCTTGCCGAGGGCTCCAAATTTCCTAAAACCGCCCCTGCCTCTACATGAGTTTTCTACCAAACATCGTCCATTATTTTACAGCATTAATTTGGTAACAAATTGGTAATAAAAGTGTCTTTAAATGACTTTTTAAAGCATTATACAGACGCTTTATTAAAGATTCAGCGGTAAAAGGTGAAATCTAAAGTTACCGGGGCTCTAAACTCAGCTGTAACAGAGCTGCTCAGAGTTCCTAGAAGAACTGCAGAGACGGGTGACCCAGAGATGACCCGGTCAGTGCCCACGTGTCGGTCCACCAGGCTGCCAGGGAGCAAAACCAGCACAGAGACATGTGGAGGTTTGACTTCAGCCTGGGAGAAAAACAGCTGTTCCACATTAACAGGGCTGAATGTGGACCCTTCCAGTTGATGGATGGTTCCCAACATGTAAACATCTGTGGAAACCACCTCAAGTCAGTTAGAAAATAAGTTGATATTTAAAGTTATTTTTATAACTCAGTCACTAACAGAAGGAAACGTGGATATAGAAACATGGATCCTGACGTGTTTATAGTCTAAATGTTTTCAAAAAAAACAATTAAATAATTTTTTCTTCCAATAACAAAACGGCTGTTAAAACTTTATGCTCTAAATTCAAAGTATTTATGTAATCCTTTTAGTTTTACTTAATCACTATTTTCATTTTTAATTATTTATTATTATTATTGTTGTTGAAACCCTGGCGATTTTTAATAGAAATTGTACTTATTTCTTTTTTTATTATAAAGAATTTTATAATAAAAAAATAATAATTTTTACTCACTTCTTCCTGTAATCTATCCGTCCTCCAATCAGCCTCCAGTTCTGAAGCTTCTACGTGCTGTGATTGGTTCCTCCCTTCCCTGGGCGGGAACGTCCCGCGCAGGGACGCGGCTGATTCAGTGCCGTTCTCATGGCGACACGTTCTGGCCGCGACGGCTGCCGTGAAAACGTCGAGGAAGAAGAGGAACGGCGTGAAGAAGAAGAGGAGGGACAGCCGCCAGTAGACGGACAGCTGCAGCGGGGACATGGCGGCGGTTCCTCTCGGAGCGGTGGAGCTCCGGCGGGTTCGGAGAAGTTTTCAGGAGCTGCTCATGTTGCTGCGAGCTGCTGCTGCCTGGTTGTGTGAACAGCTGCTGCTGTCACAGGACGGTTATTACTGAGCCGCCGGGCTGAGAGCCAACACGCTCAGATTTACTGCCAACTTTCACCGGGCCCCGCCCCTCCCCTTCTCTTCCCGCCTTCTTTACCATATATGGTTTTTAGTCCAGGCGGAGAGCTGCAAAGCGACACCCAGTGGTCAGTTCTGAGCACTGCACTAGATATATGTCTGTAAAAACTCATTTAAAATTAAGACCACAAACAGGCTTAAATTGGAAGACACCCGAACTTTCGCTCAGTTTCTTTTTACGTTTCCACAGGAGAGGATTAGGGTCACTGAAAAAATACAAAAAGGTTAACTGATTTTTAAATTTTATTTCAGTTTAATACGGGAAAAACAGTCAGAATTCTGACTTTAATCTCACAATTTTGACTTTTTTCTCAGAATTCTGACCTTTTTTCTCAGAATTCCGACCTTTTTTTTTTTTTAGAAATCTGACTTTTTTTTCTCAAAATTCTGACTTTAATCTCAGAATTCTGACTTTTTTCTCAAAATTCTGACTTTTTTCTCAGAATTCTGACCTTTTTTTTTTTTTTTTTTTTTTTTTTTTTAGAATTCTGACTTTTTTTCCTCAAAATTCTGACTTTAATCTCACAAGTTTGACTTTTTTACTCCGAATTCTGACTTTTTTTCCGGATCCCTGCTGAGGCTATTTCAATAATGGAAGAGCAGAAAGTGATTAAAACAACATAAGTAGTTTAGTCTCTAAAACAGACATGGCTATGGCTTAATGCATGTTTGTTAGCTGTCAGAATTCTGTGAATGTGTGCAGGAGGATGGACCTCCATGCTGCTTAAAGAAAAAGTCCGGTCAGCAAGATATTATCAGTGGATCATTATCTATACCTAAAACTAATACGTTCGTGGTGATTTAATAAATTAGCGTTAATCAGTAAAAAAAATAACAATAATTTTCGTCTTGATCACTGGGTCTGGGCTCGGCCATTTTTGCCCAATTCACCAGAGCTATAGTTAAACTGACAATGCCCACGTGCATGGCAGCTGGATGTTAGGATACAGCCGGTAAAATAGGAGGGAATAAAAGAGTTATTTCACCTTTCAGATTCCTGATCCTCCAAATTTCAAAGAAGAATGTTTTCAAGATGACTTGGATAATAGCGCGTTGTGACAAACACCAGATACAGCACTGGGACTTGATCAACAGCCGATACCGCACCGTGACGTCACAAACCAGTAGGTGGCAGTAGTGTTCTTTGACAAACATGGATGCCTCCAGTAAAGCACATTCACATGAAAATTACTCTGAATTAAAAACATTTATCATTTATTGAACAGTGTATAATAAGTTTATATTTAATGAACTTTCAGATGTCTGAATTCTTAATATGAGCGACTTTTCCTTTATATACATCAGCAATCCAGCTACAGTTTGCTCTGGTGCGAGCCCAAAGAATCGACAAAGACTCCTGCATAGGTGTCGAAACATCTTTAAAAAAACTTAGCGGAAGTCTAACTGTCTGTTTGTGACTGCACCGGAAAATAAACAAAGCTCCTCGAGCAAAACGTGTCAAACCAAAACCAGTAGGACCGTCCTCAGTTCTTAGAAAAAAAACAAGCAGTTAGTTCACAGGAAAAATTGTTGTCAGTTCCCAGGAAAACAAAAGTTCTGAATTCTTGGGAAACAATGAAGCTTATTTTTATGATTCAGTGACATTGTGACCAACTGCTGTGCTACATCCTAACCTAAAACATCTTCAAAGTTTATTTTGGGTCATATAAAATGAGATATATTGATTTTAAGCTAACATAGCTAACAGTCCACTTTGACCCGCAAATACTCATGGGAAATGAAGGCCCATGAAGCAGACTCTGGATGATGCAGCTGTGCTGGGATGTTTGGTGCAGCTGAAGCAAACAGATCATCAATATAGACGCTTTCATATAGAAAACCTTAGCTTTTCAAAAACTGCGTCGACCCGCTAACAGTCGGCTTTTGGCTCTTTTCTCATCTGAACGAAAAGCCGGGTCTAACCCTCTCTTCAGAATACTACATGTAAACGAATCTCCTCTCCTCACCTGCTCATCTTTATCTATTTATAGAAAAGGCCAAAATACAGTCACATGGTGTTTCGTCCGCACGCCTTTCAAATAGGGCTTTAAAATTTCTAAAACATGTTCTACATGATCTTGGTGGTTGAATTGGTGTTAATCTAAGCTATCTAAACCATGTCTAACCTGTCTATATTAGTAAACATTTTACTGGAGTTATTACCCCCACTTAACAGGTGGGTTTAAAGAGGTTCTAATGCATGTCCCAAATAACTTATATTTGTGAAAAATCCAAAAGCCTGAAATGCATTTTACCTTTTACATGATCTCCAGCATTATACGTTTATTCTGCAATGTCCTGTTTGTTGTTGTTTGTTCTTCTGTCTTCTTCTAAATTACTGTTTTCATTAGTGACTTTATTTTGATATTTGACATTTTGATTTCATTATGTGGGCTTTAAACCACACTCTATTGAGTTTAAGTTGCTTATATACATATGTATGTATGTATACATATGTATGTATGTATACATATGTATGTATGTATATGTGTATATATATATATATATATATATATATATATATATATATATATATATATACATGTGTATATACATATACTTGGATTTAACAAAATAAATTTTTAATTAGCAAACAAAATATTTAGCTCCAAAACTAAATATTAATTTAAAAAGTAAGGTTTTAATAAATAAATGAATGACATAGTGAATAAAAAATGACTTATTTTTCTTTTAAATCACACTGAATCACAATGAATATCCATAAATATTGCTCCAGATTTTTGACTGCTTAACTTTACAAACGGCGCCCCATAGTGTTATGCTCCATTAAAAAATGCTAATCTGAAACTAAAAAGAAAACTAGCAGAAAACACAAAGATCACCTTTAAAGAACGACACAAAAAGCTCCAGACTTTTTTCTTTATTGCTATTTGTCTTATTAGATATAGTATTTATCTCTATCTGCCCTTCTGAGCACATTCTCTTCCGTCACTTTATATATTGATATTTCTCTCACAGTGCTTTCTTTCTAAACCTTTTTTTTTTTTTTTACATTTAAAACATCTTTTCTACTGCTTACATTCACAATGATGAGTTCTTATTCTTAAAAACAAACATCCTCTTAGCCATTAAATGTCATTTTAACATGTAATACAAATAGGAAATCAGATAAAAACATGAAAACAAAATAAGAAATAGGAGTAAAATAGGGTTATTTACAGAACAAATAAGAGGCGGGTAATACCTGTCCTTTTGAAGCAGATGAGAGCAAAGAAAATATCTTAGAAATATCTAAAAATTCAGAAAGTCCAAAGAAAAAAGTTAAGAAAAGATGAAAACTCCAATAACAGCTTCTTACTTAAAAACATCTTTTTCCCTTATTTGAAAGAACCGATGGTGTAAATGTTTCCACTTAAATAACAAATTTTTAGAAATGTAACGACGTATAAAAAGGCTAAAACTGTAATAGCAAATCTGTTTTTTATGTCTTCAAATGTTTAGAAATAAATTGAGTTGTTTTTAAATCTCATAACAACAAATGCCTTTTGAAATCTAAAAGATTTTACCGTCTTTTAATTGGTTCTAACTGATTAAATATTGGATAGAAAATCTTTTGCTGTGTGCATTGTGCAGTTTTACGACAAGTATTAAGACCAGGCTAGAGATTTTTTTCATTTATTTCTTATTTTAAGAATAAAGTTTAAATATTACACGAATTAAGTCATCAAACATCAACCGGTTTCAGAAAGAAAGCTTGTAGCTCCGCCCAGCAGATGACGGTCGACCAGCTCCACCAATCAGCAACCAGAGTCCACTTTGACATCCTGCCCAGTTTGATGCTGCTGCTAAAAGATTTCCTGATTTGTCAAACCGATGCTAAAGTATAACTTCACATGATGCTCCACATTCCTCACTTTAGGGAAGAAAGGGATTCTGGGAAGAGTTGTCATAAAATAAAACTTATTTCTCGTAATTTTAGGGCTTTATTCTCGTAATTTTACAAATCTATTATCATAATGTTATGATATTATTCTCCTAATTTATGACTTTATTCTGATAAGTTTATGACTATTCTCGTTGTGACTTTTGTTGCATAATTTTAAGACTTTCTCCTCATTTTATGATTTTATTCTCGTAATTTTAAGACTTTATTATCATAATTTTATAATTTTATTGTCGTAATTTTATGACTATTGTCGTGACTTTTTTCACAGAATTTTATGACTTTGGTCTCCTAATTTTATGACTTTATTATCATAATGTTGCGACTTTATTCTCGTAATTTTACGACTTTACTATGAGAATTTTACTACTTTATTATCATAATGTTGCGACTTTATTCTCGTAATTTTACGACTTTACTATGAGAATTTTACTACTTTATTATCATAATGTTACGACTTTATTTTCGTAATTTTATGACCTTATAATTTTATGACTTTATTCTCGTAATTTTACGACTTTATTCTCGTAATTTTACGACTTTATTCTCGTAATTTTACGACCTTATAATTTTATGACTTTATTCTCGTAATTTTACGACTTTATTCTCGTAATTTTACGACTTTATAATTTTATGACTTTATTCTCGTAATTTTACGACTTTATTATCATAATTTTACTACTTTATTATCATAATGTTGCGACTTTATTCTCGTAATTTACGACCTTATAATTTTATGACTTTATTCTCGTAATTTTACGACCTTATAATTTTATGACTTTATTCTCGTAATTTTACGACTTTATTCTCGTAATTTTACGACTTTATTATCATAATTTTACTACTTTAGTATCATAATTTTACTACTTTATTATCATAGTGTTGCGACTTTATTCTCGTAATTTTACGACCTTATAATTTTATGACTTTATTCTCGTAATTTTACGACTTTATTCTCGTAAGTTTATTACTTTATTCTCGTAATTTTACGACTTTATTATCATAATGTTGCGACTTTATTCTTTTAATTTTACGACCTTATAATTTTATGACTTTATTCTCGTAATTTTACGACTTTATTATCATAATTTTACTACTTTATTATCATAATGTTGCGACTTTATTCTCGTAATTTTACGACTTTATTCTCGTAATTTTATGACTTTATAATATTATGACTTTATTCTCGTAATTTTACGACTTTATTATCATAATTTTACTACTTTATTATCATAATGTTGTGACTTTATTCTCGTAATTTTACGACCTTATAATTTTATGACTTTATTCTCGTAATTTTACGACTTTATTCTCGTAATTTTATGACTTTATTCTCGTAATTTTACGACTTTATTATCATAAAGTTGCGACTTTATTCTTGCAATTTTACGACCTTATAATTTGACTTTATTCTCAAAATTTGGATTTTATTCGCGTAATTTTATGACAATTCTCGTTGGGACTTTTTTATCAGAATTTTATGACTTTGGTCTCGTAATTTTACGACTTTATTATCATAATGTTGCAACTTTATTCTCGTAATTTTACGACTTTATTATCATAATTTTATGACTTTATTCTAATAATTTTATGATTTTATCCTCATAATTTTGTTGGGACTTTTTTCTCCGAATTTTATGACTTTGTTTTCGTAATTTTACTACTTTAATATCATACTGTTGCGACTTTATTCTTGGAGTTTGAAGACAAAAAAAAAATCTCTAGCCTGGCCCTAATACTCCGTCGTCCTTTTTTGTACTTTATTTCCTGTAAATTATAAAACTAATGTTCGACGGTGCAAATGCAACGATCCAGCAAGATCAAACTCAATATAAGAATCATGTTGCCATGGTTTCCCTACAGCAACACACTCTTATGTTTCCAATTTATAACTCCTAACCTAATATAGCTGTATATATAATGTAATAAAGTAAAAAAATACTTTATGAGAAGGAAATAAAATCAATTTTTTTCTTAATAATGTCCAAAGTCTGGTTGCAAAACCTTTGCAATGAACTGTAACCTAAATGGCAGTAACAATAGATGCTCAAAATGAATTTCTGCAGAAATTCAGCCCACGAACATGAGCAAACCCAGGAGGACGGTAACCTGACAACAGCCAGATGCATGTCGAGCTCCGCCCAGCTCCACTCACATACATCTGGGAACCCGCTCATTGAAAGTGATTTCCCCAACCGAATTTATGGTCTGTCCAATCAGGACGCAGGGCGGGTGTGTCCTGGAGTGGAGAAGCGACCGTGAGATTCCAACAACAATTGCGGCTCGCATTGAGGAAGCAAGCGCTAGCATTGATGCTGCTATTTCTTCTGTGTTGTCCAATCTATCTGATATTGTTTCATCAAAAGAACATCAGAGAACGGCTTTGAAGGCTTTTGTTGGTGGAAACGATGTTTTCGCCCTTCTCCCGACCGGATTTGGCAAGAGCTTGATCTACCAAATGGCTCCTCCTCTCACAGCGTCACGGGTTAGCTTCGGTGTGAGTGGTTGAAATAGCACGTCAATAAAGATGACAGACAAGTGGCTTATCAAATCATATGCAAGGAGTTTTGATAAGGCCCAGCCTTCAGTAAAGGCAATTGCTATGGCGGGTTCCCAGATGTATGTGAGTGGAGCTAGCCGGAGCGAGACATGCATCTGGCTGTTGTCAGGTTAGGAGGACGGACCACTCAGACCTCTGGAGCCGTTTATGTCCATTCAGCTCCAGCAGAGGTCAGCAAAGCTCACCTTTGTTTGGAAGATCCACACATTTCAGAGGTCCTTTTAAAACATCCAGAAAGTCTTTTTGTGAATTTATCCTCTAAGAAGTTTCAAACATGCAAAGACTTGAATCATCATCCTCCGGTGACTCCACAAACACCTCATCATCTATCTCCTCGTCTTCCCCTTCCAAGATGGCAGTCATGGGGGCAGCAAAGAGACGGCAGCGGGCAGCGAACCGTCTGCTGCTGGAGCAGGGAGGAGTTAGGGACCGAGGACGCATGTGGGAGGAGGAAAAGACCAGGAAGGGTGAGGAAGAGGCGGATGTGAGAAGGAGCTGACTGTGGATCAGATCCCGCCGTTTCCAGCCAAACATCATGGAGAGCGAAGGCGATAACGGAGGGAAATTCAAAGACAGCAGGGAACTGGGATTCCCAACAGCAGAGGAGGGGTTAACAGCCTTCAACTCGTCGGGAGTCAGAGGACCAGGAGGATTCTTCTGGTGTTTAGAAAGAGCAGGATGGAGCTGACCTACAAAAAGACGCTCCACTGCTGAGATTCGAGAAGACGATTCAACTCGGCTGCCTTTCCTCAGCAGGAGAGCCTTAAAACTCTCACTTCTGCCGGGTCTGTGATTCCTGAGTCCTGCTGCTCTGGTGAGACAGGATGGGGGATCAGCGAGAATCTCTGGAGAAGAAGAGGAGGACGATGAAGAAGACGAAGGAAAACAATGCTTCTTTTCTCCCAAGTCTCTTTTTCCAAGCATCTTTTGCTTAGATCTAAGAAAATTAGACAAAAGACGACAGTTAGACACTTGTGTTTGGTGCATTTCAGACTCACTCAGCTCAGGTTGAAGTCACAAATACCAGGGAGGGGAGGAAACAAGGAATAGAATTAGATTCAAATGGGTCTCTTGGGAAAAAAAAGGTTATAGCTGAACATCTAAGTTTCCTACTTGGGTGACAAAGGCTTGGCAGAACTACAGGTGCTAGGCTTCAGGTACTTAGAGATTCACTTCCAAACAGAAACCCCACATTCATATCTTCAGGTAACACAGAGTACATGTCAGACTTAATAATATTACTTTAGTGATAGTTTCAAGGTGTTTGCTTTATTGTATATGTCGTACCATGTTTTTTGGTTGTGCTGTTCTTTTTTCTTTTTTTTTTTTTTTTTCTCCATCTCATTACAGGTGTTGAAGCAGACTGAAAATGTTTTGTCATTGTCTCCTTCCTATCTCCTCTTTCTTTCATCTTTTGTCCTGTTTTTTTCTTTTTCCTTCTTCTTCTTCTGTTTTTCTGCTCTACTTACATTGCAGTGTCCATATGAACTGTAAAACTCCCTGCATAATTATAATAAAGCAATTTATATACATGAAACAAGTGGAGCGGTATGGCAATTGCGATACCGCTACACTTGTGAAAGTAAAATCTGTTGGGCTCCTTTTGGCATCAAGACAATTATTATTCTTATTGCCACCTTGCCAGACAGGACACTGTAAAAAAAAAAAAAATAAAAAAAAAAAAAAAAAAAAAAAAAGATTCAAATGGGTCTCTTGGGAAAAAAAAGGTTATAGCTGAACATCTAAGTTTCCTACTTGGGTGACAAAGGCTTGGCAGGACTAACTCCACGGTGCTACGTCACAGGATTTAGGAGCTAAAGGCTTTGCATACTCCCACAGCAGTGTGTCGCAGTTAGCTTGCCGCAGGTATGATTCAGATATTTTTGATTTATGCCCAATATTTAAACCTGGTCTGCGCTATGATATTCCAGCCACAATGCAAGAGGGACAATCACAAACTAGCTAGGATTGTGGGTGTTCGTGTGTCTGTTTGACGAACTTGTTCACCGTTGTGGAGTAAAAAATGCTGAGATATGTCTGTCCTTAGCCTCACAGGCTCCAAACAAAGGTCATGAGAGATAAGAATGAGTTATAAAGCTTCCTCCATGGCATGAAGGGGAGGACTGCTGTTATTAGGAGATCCATCTGGCCCGTGAAAGATAGATTAACCTAACAGGGAACGGCCTTGATGAACTCAAGTTGATTTTCCTCCAAATGTTCAAGTGTGAGAAAGTTCTTTATACGTGGGGTGGGTTGGTTCCCCTGGGGGGAGTGTGTGATTTTGTAAGGTATAAATGTATGTACTGAGATATGGCCAGTCAGAGCCTATCTCTCCGTGTCTTAGCTTCCTAGCCCCACACCATCTACAACCCCTCATCCAATGCCGGACGAACTTCACCCGGTAGTGTTCCCCAAAGACTTGCCGTTGCGCGGTGTGTTTTGGCTTCGGGTACAAACCAAACAGACCGTCACAAGGAGCTACTAACTAGCATTGTGCACGGTGTCTGGGATAGTGTCCGAGGTGTTCCAGGCGTTGTGGACGGTACTTCAGCCAGAGTTTCTGCCATTAGGTACCAAACAGGAAATAAGCATAGTGTAGAGCGGATGTAGAATTGACCAATCAGAGGTCTCCTGTCTGCGGTCATCAGTTAGGGCGAGGTGCACCATAGTGTCTGCAGAAGCGGGGGCATATCTACGTTAACTGCGACACACACGCAGACGACCTTTTATGTTTTACCTGCAACCTGAACACCAACTTGTTTATGCTGTGCCTTCCCACACGGCACTGCTCCAGGGGCAAAAAAAGGCATCAAGCATATAGATGAGAATTTGGCTTGATGTTGGTTAGAATATAAACAATCAGTGTGAATTAAGGAATACCTGTGGATGATGGTGAATAGATCCTCTGTGGTGCGAGGGCAACCAGATCCCAACATCTGTTCCGCTGAAACGTTGATGAAAACATCGTCTGGAAGGTGAAATAGTTGCACAGAAACCAGAAGTTCAAGACAGAAAGGACTTTAATTTAATTAATTAATATGGACCATAACTGCTGCGTTATGGTGCATCAAGGACACAGATAACATGGAGACTGAAGAACCTTTAAACTGGATTAAATACATGTAATCCGTGATGAACTAGAAGGAGCTGCTTACATATATTTAGCTTGTTTAAAACCTCTTAAAAGCCACCTAATTTAAAGCAATCATCACCTATTTTGCATACCCAAATGGAAAAGCAAATAACTGAGGAACTGTTAGCCCAAATTACATGTGTGATACTTCATTTGAAAGCTAACACCTTTAAGATTGTGAATATATAAATGATAATTGGGTGAGTAAAACACAGCCTAAGCTGCATCGGTTCAAACATGACTCAAAGATGCAACCGGGCCATGTTGAGCCTTGTTTGAAAACTTATTTCATTGGCTACAAAGCCAAATAGCCACATTGTCTTAACCAGTAACAGCAGGAGTCTATGAGGCATAATATCGCTCTATTAATTTCATCATTGGCTGAAAGGCAAGGAGCGCTTGTGAGACTTCAGCGGCTGTCCCTTACTCAAATCGCATCAAACAAAGATGCAGACACTTTTGTCTTGTAGGTAAGAAGTTGGTGTAAAGAAACACACCAAACATTGCAGACAAACATTTTAAGAAGTAAGTAAGAAGTAATTAGCAAGATGCATTAGCATTAGCTATGACCAGCTAACCTTTCTGATGTCAAAGACTGGACGTTATGGGCGATTTTTCTCATCATGGCATATTTTCATCACAAATATGCTGGATTACTTTTCACCTGTGGACCCTTATGGACGAATGGAGTATAAACAATTGGAAACTGGATTTAGAAAACAGCTTCTGGATGCCTTCAAAGGAATGTTGTCATGGCTGCTTTGTCATGTTTACATTTTGACATGCTGCAATATCTGTGTTATTTTTGCTTTGGTGCTCGCTGTGTTCATGTAAAGAGCTTGGTGGTTGAATTTTGGAGAATCCAAGCTTTCCAACGATTTCTAACATGTCTGTATTGGTAAAAATGTGAATGTTCATGCATTCTTAGATATTAGTAGTGGATGCTATAAAAACGGTCGCCGGTGATTGGGTGGGTTCGGAGAGGATAAAGGATTGAGAGCCATGGCTGTAATAGGCATGGAGCATATCCAGAGAGCGTACTTTCCTTGCTTCTTGGACCAGGGATGTTGGCCAACTAAGTTAATGTTTGAAAATCTGTGTCCCATGAAAGCTCCAGCTTTACACATTAACTCTGACTCAATCCTTTCCTTTTAACAAAAAATATCCACAACTCACCGTCCGATGCTCTGCTTTCCTCTACGACCTCATCTCCTTTCCCCTGGTCTCCATCCTTTCCTGGTTCCTCCTCCTCTTCATCTGGTTCCTTGATCCGTAGGTCTGGCAGTGAAAGTTCGCCTTGTAGGCTCTCATTTGATAGCAAACTGCTAAGTGAAAACCTCCTCTGACCCATCAGAGCATACGAGCTTTCAGAGTCGCTTGTATCTTGATCACACACTTCGATTTTAAGTATTCTGTCGCTACTTTCCTTTATTACATCTCGTTCATCTTCTGACGAGGATGATGAAGACGATGATGAAGGAGAGGAGGAGGATGATGATGAGGAGGAGGGAGAGGGCTTCATTTTTGGTGACATCATCAACAACTTTTGGCCTAGCTGCCGTTTCCTCCTCCTCCTTGATTTATTTACTTTTTTGGATGAAGTCATTATCATCGTTACTGTGTTCTCCTCCCTTTCTTCCACTCCCTCCTGATCAAAATTTTCTTCCTCTTCAGCAAGTGAGGATTTCATAATCCGCACGAGACTGGTTTTCTCTTCATCTTGTTTCCCATTCCCAATGATCCCACCTAAAATGGGCCCAGATGCTTCTGTTTGGATTCCTTCAGTCCAGGTAGAAGAGATATTACCGATTCCTCTGGCACCCGGTACTTTTAATCCTGAAGAGCAATGAGTGTCGTACCTACTGATTATTTGTTGTGTGCTGCAAGCATCGCCATAGTCTTTACCAGATCTTGGGTTGCCCATGGTTTTTAAGATGTCTCTGGTGTCTATTGTGGCCTGAATGTCTAAACCATCAGTGTTTGCTGCAGCCCATTTCAGTTTCCTTCCAGTGTTTTCGGATGCAAAAAATGGCTTTGCTATCTTGGGACAGCTCAACAGAACATCTGACTTCCTGTGCTTTTGCTGATATGGGGAACTGTCAGGTGAGTTCCCTGTGTTGACTGGGCATCCTGGTATTTCCGATTTGTCCAAAATGCTTGTCAAATTCTTCGACAATGGCATATTGCTTGCTGAATATGTTTGGGATAGTGTGGAATCTAAAGTATTAGGTTGAAAGGAAGACTCTGTGAGTTGCCCAGAGTCCTTAAACCCCCCTGGACCTCTTTTAGTCTTCGGGGATTTCAGAAGATCCAGAATGTCAAGATCAGGCTTCTTAGGTAGAACGGGTTTCCCTGGGGAGCAGAGCTTCCTCGGGCTCTGAAGATCTCTTTTATCGTTTTTCACATCTATCTCACTCTGAATTTCAAACGTAAATGTGTTACATTCATTAACTTTTTTATTTAAGTTTTCTCTCATTGGCCCTGTTTGCTTTGCCGAGTCTGTTTCGGAAGAAGATTGTTTCAATGGGAGGTTTAAAATATTGGTGTTCCTTTGATATGCCTCCTCATCGTCAGGACACGTTTCTACCGATGGGGCGTCAAGACTAGAGCCTTTGATACTTTCTAGAGGAGGACAGATGTTCGAATTTTTCATCTGTTGTCCATCCAGTTGGAAGTTTTGGATCGTTTCTGTGTTTAGTTTAACGTCATGGTCTTTGATGTTGTCATTTAAACTTTTAAGATTAGCATCACTTGACTCTTTATTTGAATTTACACTTTCACTTGTTATTGGGTCTTTCCCATTGAGTTCTGGCTCTTTTAATTCAGTACTAACTTGGAGAGTGCCATTTACTATTAACTGATTTACCTCACTGCCACTTGCAGATTGATTGATGAAATTATTTGCTCCTTGCCTTGAAACCTTTGTATCAGTATTAGCAAGGCTATCCAGAAATGATTCATTCATTACATCACAGTCTGTTATGTAGCATTTGCTGTCATTAGGGTCATGTTTTCCCTGCGTTACTTCCTGTTTCTTGACTGAGCGAAGCTTGACGCACTGCAAAGCTTGAGAGGTGATCAGAGAGTAGAGCCCTGGAGACGGAGGTGGAGGAGAAGGTGGTGGAGGAGGCAAGTCAGACTTGTCAGGGAATTTCAAAGAGGGCAGAACTGGGGGAGGATCCTTGTTGGATGATACTGTGGAGACCAGAGCATGATATGAGGTCTGCCTCACAGCGTAGGAGTAGGGAGGAGGTGGAGGCCGGATGGTGGTAGGTAGAGGAGGAGCAGGGGGTAGGGATAAAGCTGGGAGATCATTAGGAAGTGGAGGAGGAGGAGCTTTGTTAACAGACAGAGGAACATGGAGGCAAAAGTCATGCATGGAAGGGGTGGTAAGTGGTGAAAGAGAAGGACAGGAAGACAGTGGAAGTGGTGAAGGGTTAGAAGTGATGGCTGTAGGGGCAGGAAGACGGGGAGGGGTGGACTCAGAGGGAACAGGAGGAAGACGAGGAAAGGGTGGAAGACAGGAAGCATGAACATAGAAGTCAGGGACTGGAGAAGTAGACTGTGGAAGTGGGGGAGGTGGTGGTGGAGAAGGAAGATTAGTAATTGAAAGAGAGGACTCGACGGCTAGGGGAATAGATTGTTGAAGTGGTGGCGGTGGAGGAGGAAGATTAGTAACTGAAGGGGAGAACTCAAAGACTGGGGGAGTAGATTGTGGAAGAGGTGGCGGTGGAGGTGGTGGGGGCGGAGGAGGAAGATTAGTAACTGAAGGGGAGAACTCAAAGACTGGGGGAGTAGATTGTGGAAGAGGTGCCGGTGGAGGTGGTGGGGGCAGAGGAGGAAAATTAGTAACTGAAGGGGAGAACTCAAAGACTGGGGGAGTAGATTGTGGAAGTGGTGGACGAATATTGTTAATCGGACGGTAGAAATCTGGGGCAGGTGGAGTGGATTGTGAAAGATGAAGAGGATGAAGAGGAGGAGGCGGAGGGAGTCTAGGGAGAAGTGGTTGTCTGGCTAAGGAATCAGATGAGGTATAAGAGGAGAGAGAAGATGTGGAGGAAGAAAGAAGAGATGACTTCCTCTGTGGCACTGGGGGCTTTAGCCTCCCTTTCCCATAACACCTGGTCCTGGGCAGGGAGGTGGCTGAGGGGGATGTTGGTATGGTTGAAGTGAAAGATGTCAAGGAAGGGGAAGTTGGAGGGAGGGAAAAAGCACTAGGGCTTGCTGTAAGAGGAGAGGAAGGATTGTGGGGTGAAGAAACTGGAGTTCCAGAACTTGGAGTATTGGACTGGCTGGAGTAACCACTAGATGGAGAGGCAAGGCACGGAAATCCGTCAACAGAGGAGTCGGATGGATGACTAAGTGTAAGTTTAAGGTCTTTATCCTTTAAAACCGGAGATCCAGGATTCAGCATGAGGCAGTGTTTGGGGCTTAATAGGTTGGTGCCAGAGGGATCAGAGTCACTAGTAGATGGTTTGTTGGAGTTTGGACTCAAAGGCTCAAAGGTTATGGCCGTCCCACAGTTCAGACTACTTTCATCTTTTCTAGTATTGCTCCGGAGCACCCAGGGATCAGGAAAGGTCTGAGGAGATGAGATGGGTGTTTGCAAGGTGTTGCGATCAACACGAGGGCTCCGGTTGGGACGTGGGCTCGTTGAAGAACACGGGGCCCTGCTGCGACCTGGCCGGCGCCTTAAAGAGTCACAGCGGAGTGGTGGTGGTGGTGGGACCTTGGACTTGCGTAGAGAGATGCTTCGTGTTATAGTCTGGGAGTAAAAAGCTGAAGTGCTTGACTTTCTTTTCTCCCGGTTCTGTGAGGGAGATAAAAGCATCTTCTCAGAGCAAAGGGAGGTGTTGTCATCGCAGTAAGGGGTAGAGCGACCGGAGGAGAGAAGGGGTTCACAGTTCCAGCCTTCCTCAGAGACACTTCTTGTCTCTTGATTGATACCACTGATGATGCTGGAACTGGGAGAGAGTGGTCTGTAGTTCCAGCTCTCACCGCTGCAGGAGTCACCATCAGAGAAGTTCTGGGCATTTTTCTTGGTGATGTTCGGATCTGCCAGAGCCTGGTAACTATACTGGGATACTGAATCAGCAATGGAGGAGGAGGAAGAGGAGAGGCAGGGAGTGGGACCCTCATCTAAAGCCGTTTCACCGGGATAAGACCACTCTGACTGTAGTTGACTGGGGGTGTCAGAGGTATACGAGTTGACAGGGGAAGCAGGAAAACAAGGTGACGAGGAAGAGGGTGACTGGGGCATGACCCTGACAGCGGGGTCATAGAGCAGCAGTGGCTGAAAGTCACTTGGGAACCCTTGCTGGTCCTGTGACTGAGGAGGAAAGGAGAAGAAATGAATCACAATCTTTAGTTTCATCTTTGTTAATTAATTATGGCATTTTGTTTGTTGAACTGACCTGGCTGTAGGAGGACGAGGCACTGGGCGTTGTATGGGTGTTGCCTTTAAAGCCGACCTCAGAGCTCAGAGAGGAGTTGGTAGGCGGGATACGACCATCGGAGGGAGATGACTGACAGGAGACGGGCTCTTTGCCTATATTTGGTGAGGAGGTGAGGGAGGCCATCAGACTGGACATGCCTTCTCCTTTAGGGGCTCTGATTCTTCTTGAGGTATACTGCCCCTCCTTTCCGTTTCTTTCACTTTCCCACATTTCCACCTCTCTGCTCTTCTGTTGAGAGGAGACTGAGGAAGCAGGTCGACCCACAGTGGAGTACTGACCCGGAAGATCCAGGGAAACTGAAGGCTTGGGGAGGACATTATCCGATAAAGCAGAAACCGTCTTACGGCGGCTCAGTTTATGAGGTCTTCGATTCAATGAGTCTGTGTTTGAGAGTGTTCTCCGAAAACTGGCCTGTCGATCAAAACTCTCACCTTAAAAGCAAAGAAAAACAACAAATCATGTTAAAAACCATGATCATAAAAGTTTTGAATCCAGTTAAAACAGTTTAAAGCATAGAAATAAACTAGAACTAAACGTGTAAAACATCTAAAACTGGGCATACACTGTACGATTTTAAACCGCAGGGTTTAAAAGTTCACAGCTCCCGATGTTTGTTCTCACACTGTGCGATCTACCTTCTCACCCGTTGGTCCAGTTCAATTTGCATGTTTGTCGGTCCACTCTATAAAGCCTGGAACTCAACGCTATTTTGACATTTTGAATTGAAAAAGCTTCCTGGATGTGAAGAGAAACATCTTTAAACTTGGAAACAAAGTCCAGTGGATTTTTTTTTTTTTTTTTTTTACTTTTTCTTTTATTTTAAACCTCTTAAGTCTTGCCAGTTCGGAGGTATTTCTCTGCGGTCCTTTTGAGGCCATCATTTCTGCTTCAGATGCGCTGTACCTGTTACATTGATGGGAACTATATCAGCGGCGACTGCGTCTGCCTGCTGTCTCATCTTCTCCTCCGGTGTTGGAAGACGCTGAAAGGGCTCCACATCCAGGTTGGAGTTTGAATCACTTCCTGATCCGAGGTCGTCCCAGGCGGAAGTGAGACTGATGGGATTTAGGACCAGTGGAGTCATAGGCCGTGGGTTGGTGAGGAAGAACTTATCATCTTCATCCGAAGAGGCTGAAGACTAACCAAAAAAATAAGGTTTTCTTTATGTCTCACATAAGCAAAGACTGCTCTATACATGTTATGGTTTGATATAGACATATGTAGACTATGTGGGCGGGGGACTAAAATAATATTCCATACTCACTACCTGGTTTTCTAAACTAATATGTATCAAAACTAACTTTGAGAACATCAGTCCCTATTTACCTTTCTCCTCCAAAGTGAAAACTTGAAACAAACTGAAAAACAAGACTGAGAAAGAAAGTCCAAGAATCTAATCCTCTGAGAGGAGGAGAGGTGGGTGGGAAGAGGAAAAAAAGATAGAAAAATTAGATTTGTGAATCCATAATAATGGAGAAATAACAGTTTCAATGCCAGGATTTGATCAGGTGGAAGTGGAAGATATCCTCATATCCATAGACCTAATACTAGAGTAGACGCCACATTGATTGCTTTCGCCTGGGGGTGCTGATGTGATTTGGTGGCGCCATCTTGAGGCGGTCGACAGCTCCTGTAAATGTAATGTGTTGAGCAGGCAAATAATCTATCTTAATCAACTTTTAAGTATTAACTTTTTTCACTGTTGTTTTTTTTTGCTGAAAACAAACAAATGTTACAGTGTATGTTAACATTGTTAGTGGGTTTAAAAGTAATAGAATATTCTGATAGGATGTATGAATGTTGCAAAGCACAGCCACTCATACTTTTTATATTTTTTTATTGCTATATACACAAACATATTTATACAGATACACACAAATATATATATATATATATATATGTATATATACTGTATAAATACTACTATAAATATATAGTGATTATTTACTTTATATTTTTATTTAGCACTTTTTTTTAACGAATTGTCACTTATTCTGTTATTTTTATGCACTTTTTAAGGTCCACAGTTGTGTGACCACTTTTGCTGTAATATTTTGCTGCTATATATTCTATATTATATATATATATATATATATATATATATATATATATATATATATATATATATATATATATATATATATAGAATAGAATATAGAATATAAAATCTAGAATATATATAGAATATATAGCACCTTCCCAAACACATACAAGCAGTAAAACGCAGCACAGTGCTGAGGTGTCCTTCTTCTGTTCCGCTTAAACCAGGCTAGAGTAGCGGGTCGACCTCCCCAAGATGGCGCCATAATTTCTGTGCTTCGTCAGTCACTGCAGGGTTTACTCTTATATTATGTCTATGCTAACAACTGCTGATTAAACGAGAGGTTATCGAAGCTGAAAGCTTTACAACCTATGAAAAGAAATGATGTCTAATAACCAGGCTGGTTGCTGGCTTAAAATCTGTCAATGGGAAATTTAAAGCTCAACGTTGTCAATAAAAGCCCATTAGTTTTCCTGCAAAGAGCTTAATTATATGCAATATTAGCTGCAGAGGAGAACCTAAATATCTCTCCATACACATCAGCTTACCATCTTTCTGCCTCTGTTACGCCACCCTCTGTGGGTGCTGCCCTCTGATTGGTCAAGACCAGAGAATGGAGCAAAGGTGGGACTCGGTGGGCGGGGCTTAAAGCTGTCATGCTGAGTCAGCCCTTTGCAGGCTGTGGATACATAAAAAGCAAAGACATGTAACTGTGGAAGTTTAAAAAACAATCAGTTAGTGAGTAAATCTGCCAGTGAATCGAACCAATGGCTTCCCTGTCCAGAAACGGGAGGAGCAGCTGATTACATGTGTTGCTGCTGCGCTGCAGTCTGCAGCAGAGAGCTCAGTGATGCAGCCTGATTGCAACACTCACCGTTTCCCTTGTGTCTGTGTGCAGATCAATAACTTTTCATTTCAGGATCATAAACCCTCAATCAATAGCTTCCAGAGGAGAGAAAACCATGACAGATCAATTGCAAACACATTTTTCTTTCTTTGCATTGTAAAGAAAAAAAAGCAGGACTGCATCCGAGCCCCCAGACCTTCTCAGCCTTTTGAAGCAGGATTCACCATTAGTGCTTCTGGCGTTCTGAAGGTCATTTAGAGTCTTATTTTCAGTTTAGCTGCTCTCCACTCGTTATATATCCAGTATTTTCTTTTTTTAATCACTCTGAGTCACTCAGACATAAAAGGCCTCTAAACTCAGAGGATTAAACCATGTTGTGCTGCCGCTGGCAAACACAGTTGGCTTCCTTTTTTAAATGAACATTTTGCACTCACACATTGTTCTCTTAACTAGTTCTCTCACTTTAATCACTTCATTCCAGGATTCAAGATAGTTTGCAGAAACTCACCACTGGTTCTACTGGGAACAATTATACAGTCATATGAAAAGGTTTGGGTACCCCTGTTAATCTTAATTATCTTTATTTCTAAATATTTGAGTGTTTGCAAAAGCAATTTCAGTTTGATATCTCTAATAACTGATCCTCCTTTTGCAAAAACAACAGCCTCTAGTCGCTTCCTGTAGCTTTGCATTAGTTCCTGGATGCTGGATGAAGGGATTTTTGACCATTCTTCTTTGAAAAACTATTCCAGTTCCGTTAAGTTTGATGGTGGCCGAGCATGGACCATGTTCAATGATATTCAGGTCTGGGGATTGGATCATTGTCTTGCTAAAATATCCATCTCCGGTGTAACTTCAACTTTGTAACTGATTTTTCCTGATAATTCTCAAGAATCTCCTGATACTGAGTGGAATCCTTGCGACCCTCAACTTTAACATGATTCCCAGTGCCAGCATTGGAAGCGCAGCCCTAAAGCATGATGGAACCTCCACCAACTACAGTAGGTAGCAAATGTTTTTCTTGGAATGCCTTGTATAACGCCTTTTTTTATAGTTGAATGATGCACAGGGACACCATCTGCAGCAAGATGATGCTGCAGGTCTTTGAAAGGTGGTCTGTGGGTTGTCCTTGACCATTCTCAGCATTCCTCTTCTCTGCCTCTCTGATATTTAACTTGAACCGTCCCTGTGGTCTTCCATTTCCTTCCTATGTTCCTCACGGTGGAAACTGACAATTTAGATCTCTGAGACAACTTTTTGTATCCTTCCCCTGAACGACTATGTTGAACAATCTTTGTTTTCAGATCATTTGAGAGTTGTTCTGAGGCGCCCAAGATGAATCTCCAGAGGACATTCAAACAGGAGAACATCTTCCAACTGGCCCCCTTAAATACATTTTCTCACACCTGGATACACCTGGCTATGAAGGTCAAATCTTAATGAAGTTGCCAAACCAGTTTTGTGTTTCAGTAAGTCAGTGAAAAGTAGTTAAGGGTATTCAAATAATAAAATGATCCGGGTAGCCACATTTTTGCACCCATCAAGTTTTGTTTTAATGCATATTGTACATTTTCTGTTAGTCCAATAATTCAATACTGAAATATTACTGTGACCTTCAGTTATTAGATATATCAAACTGTTGAAAACACCCAAATATTTAGAAATAAAGATAATTAAGGTTAATAGGAGTTCCCAAACTTTTTCATATGACTGTAAATACTATCATTTGATATATTCAGTAAAGATTTTTGTAAAGTTTTGTGAAAACCAAATATAGAATTTAATCAATGCATAAAGTAGATGCATTTTCATGTCTGTTATTTTCCTCACTAACTCTGCCAAGCAGAAGCATAAATTGCTGTATTTAATCTATACAGGAGGGAGTGGTGGCCCAGACCGTCACTCTGGGTCACCAAGTAAGACCCCTAATCCCAGAATGCTCCCTGTTTGGACGGGTTAAAGGAAGAGGACACCGTACCGCCACTTCAGCAACCATCTCATTCCAAAAAGTTAAAAAGAACAATCCACTGGACTTTGTTTCCCAAGTTTGAAGACGTTTCGCTTCCCATACAGGAAGCTTTTTCAATTTAAAATGTCAGAAATAGCGTTGAGTTCCAGGCTGTGTTGAGTGGACCAAAACAAAGCCTTGTTTTTACTTAGAAAACATGCAAATTGAACCGGATGAATGGGTCCATCCCTTTGGAATGGGGGTCGTTAGAGGGAATTGTTGGCCTGTTGGCCTGGCTGAATAGGGGAGGTCTTTTTTTTCCCTGTAAAGAAAGAAAATGGGTATAAAAAAATTGGGGCAAAGACGGGTGGTTTGAGACAAGTATGGGGCATTGCAGGCTAACAAAGGAAGCCAAATGACCACCGTTCCAAGGGGTGGAGCCCTTAGTCTGTTTCAATTTGCATGTTTTCTTAAGGCTTTATTGGGCTACTGTATAAAGCCTGGAACTCAACGCTATTTCTGACATTTTGAATTGAAAAAGCTTCCTGGATGGGAAGAGAAATGTCTTCAAACTTGCAAACAAAGTCCATTGGACTGTTTTTTTACTTTTTTTTTTTTTTTTTACTGTGACCTGAATGACTGAGAATCTTCACTGGCAACCATCTTACCTCGCAGGTCATCCGCACTGCCCGATCGTCTTTTCCCAGGAATGAAGCGAAGACCCTGCCGAGGCTTCTGGGTACTGTAGTGAACGGACCATTTACTGTCCCCGTCCCCCGCTGCAGAGACAGAGCCAAGAGAGTTAATCAGCACGGGTCAGCCTTTTGTGTTTGCTCTGCTTTCAGCACATTTCCTCACACACTCAAAGCTAATCTGTGATGATGGAAGTTGCAGCTCTCAGCAGTCCTCAAGGTGACTGTGCTTCAGGGCCTTTTAATTTGAAGGAGAAGCAGTAGGACTTGCAGGGAGGTTTAGTGGACAGATGTGGCATTCAGCACAGTTTTCAGCAAATCAGAGTCTAGGGCGAATATTACGTAACAATCGTTGACTGTTTGTGTTTTTATTTGTGATAAAAACTTTGAAACAATGTTAGAAAATGTCTTTTTCAATGAATCAAACCGAAGAAGGTTATAAATCAGCCAAAATCAGGGTGAAATCAACAGATTATTTTTCATAAACAAACATATTTCCTACCAGAAGCTTTAAAAAAAACACATCCTCCATTTGAAATGCTGAGATAAACCAGTAAGCTGACAGACTGATAATATTACCACCTAAACCTGTCAGCTTCAATTTAAGGGCACAGTTAAATATGATCCCTTGCACATTATTGCATTGGAGTGAACACATCAGTAAGTCCATCTGTAGCACTGATTATGCTGATTATATTGCAGGTTTTACTCCTGCAGATTACAGTCTGTATAAATAAAAATATTAAACAGGAATCTAAGATTTGATCCAGTTTTTAACCAATTAAACCAGGCAGGCCGGGTAGGTACTGTACCAACTGACACCTGCTGATGTTTATTTATAAAAAAGACCAAAATACAGTCACATGGTGTTTCATCCACATGCCTTTCAAATCGGGTTATTTTTTCAACAAACAGCTTTTGTTTTATAGATGTGTAAACACATAAAATGAGATTTAAAATTTCACCTGACGTGCTACTCTGCAGCAGTAATGCAACAGCAGGTATTCATCTTTAGCCCTGCCTCCTAATCGCCAACATCATTGGAAACTTAGACCTTTCCAAGGAGGGGTCGGATGTAATTATGCGACCGTTTCAGGTGATGGAACCGGAAGTATTGCACCGATATCGACACCGGTATCGGGCGGGGCTCCGATCCAGCACTAAAATGGTGACATCGGCAAGTACCGACAAACAGGGCGCCGATACCATTTTGATGTTTGTATGTCACCTGAAAGCAGTTCGTGAAAGTTGCACTACTTTGGCATTTGAGAGCCATGACAAAGCCATGATGGCAATTATTTTACATCCAAGTAGTGTGCAGTTCTTCATATACACACATCAATTTTAAACAGATGGTATCTGTGTCGGCCGATACTGCACAGCCAGGTATCAGGGCCAAAAAATGCCATCCGCGCAACACTAGTAACCGGCATAAACTTGCTCTGTTATTCTTATTTTCTATTCTTTTTGGTGATATTGTTGGTAAATTGAAATGAAATGAAGGCTTAATCTTAGGAGTCTTATGCAGAAGGTCTATAAATAATAGAAATCAGCACATTTGTCTGACCAGATTTCTGATCTATCTCTATAGTTCTGCTGCTATAGGCTTAGACTGCTGGAGGACATAGGGACCCCTTTTTCATCATCCTGCTTCATTCTATCTCTATTCTCCCACTCCCAATTTACTTGACTTATAGTCAAGATGTGGATCTATAAAGTCTGAGGATTAATCCAGAGTTTCAAATTGGCTTGCATGGTGTTTTGCAGTGTTTATTTTGGAAAAAAAAGATTTAAGTGAGGCTAAATATTTTTTTCTTCTTCTTTTAATCATCTATAAATCAGACATTAAAATTGTGGTTCTACCTGAAAAAAAATCCTCAATGCCTTTCTGTCACACAAATACAAACATTTCTATTTCCAACTTATAGTTTGGGAGCTGAACTTGCTTTAATCAACATGTGGAATTTCCGGTGGAATTTGCTCTTAAGACCCTCTGTGTCAGCGTTCTGCCCTCTGTTTAAGTTTTATTTTCTTTGTATTTGTAGCTATTTTTCTAGCAGTGTTTTGTTGTTGAGTTACTCTCTGTTGCCCCCTTGTGTTTGTTTCCTTTCCTCTTGGCTTCCTTCTAGATGCTTCCATCCACACCTGCTCCCAATCAGCTCATTAGTTCAGTCTTTGTTCTGTCCTATATATACTTTCCCTGTGCTGTTCCTTAGTATTTTGGATTTTTGACTCAGTTGCCTGTGAGTAATTCATTAAATCAGCTCAACTCATTTCTGCATTTGGGTCATCGAAACCTCAACCCAACCATGACCTTCTGGGCTTTAGTGGCTACGTTCCTGGTTCTGGTCAACTTTCTAAACGGTAAGGCTCAATCAAAGGGCATCAGAATTATACTTCAGTAACTATTTAAGAGGCAGAATATTTATTTAGCTAAACCAAATGTGCATCATCCTGGTTTTAATCTCAGTTCTAAAGGTAAAATGATGAAATTAGCTTAACACAATGTATTCCAGAAAGAGACTTCAGGGGTGCACCTCCTTTTAGTTTATTTATGATGCCATTATGCTAAACAATAATTGCATAATAAAGACCCAATGAATAGAGATGACATCATACAGCCTTACCAAAATGACACTGTGCCAAGCGATGATGACACAAAAACCCTGTTTTTCTCAGTTTTTGCCAGCCTGCATATGACTATTAAACACATTAATAAGTGTTGATTTGATTTTATCTTTCAGATTTTATTCTGTCCAGCATCCTTCGTCGCTCACCTCGGCAGCAGAAGCTTCTCCGTTGTCTCTACCTACCCATCCTGCCTCTGACTCACTTTCAGTATCAGGAGAAATGGAAATGAGTAAGCATTGTTTTCGCTTCTGCTCTCACCTTAAATAGGTCAGCTTTAAAAAGTAGAGAGGAAAAAAGAAGGCTGTTTACATCAACTGGTCATCATTTGACCATTAGAATTGAAAGGAGTAGGACCAAGAATAAGGTTCTGGTTTAATTAAAAAAACACTGAGTTGGGGGGGGGCCCATAAAACCATGTTTACCTGTATGGTTAATGCAACTATTCCTTATTTGTGCACAATAATTGGATCAGTCCATTTGCAGCACATATTCAGAAAGGTCCAAACAGACAACAGCAAACCATTTGAAAACAAATCTGTTTCTAACTTAGTGCTTTTGTTGCTAAATTTAATGACTTTTCAGACTCCTATAGCACAAAGTGCTAGAAAATGTATAAAAGCAGCGAACTCTGCTCTCCAGAGCGAGTAGATTGGTAACCCCGCCTCCTGCTCTCCTCTATCTTGTCTGCTGTCATGATTCATGCAGCTATTATTTCATCCAAATAAAAAATGGTGAACAGATAAGCAGATCATGGCTTGTGTCATGGGAGAAAAGTATTCAACTATTTACTCCCATTAAATAAACAGAGATTGATGGATTTCACTCAGTTGGCCTTTATTTTTTATCTTTGCAAAGAGAGACCAGTTCATCATACGGCTCTTATTGCGCGGTAATCAGCCCTGTTCTGATCTGGGCAGTGTGAAATTGTGCTTTTCCTTGGCTTAGTAAAAGTAATTTGCTCCAGTCTCCGTCTCTACTCTAGACAAGGATAAACGTGTCCTTATTGCGTGCAAGGTTCTCACATCTTTTTTTTTTTCTGTTGTGAGCGAAAGACAGTTGATGTCATGAAGGAAAAACTGTTGTTCTGAAATGTTTATCTGGCTAAATTTATGTCTTTGATTAATTGAGTTGCGCAGGCGGTAGTTTCATGGGAGAAAGAGAAGGTGCTGGGATTTCTGAAGTGTATAAATGTATGTGCTTAGGATGGTTAAGTCAGAGCTTTTATATACACTCCGTCTCATGTAAGGATGTTTAATAAAACTGAATTTTACGTCTTGCAAGAAATGCTTCTGACTCAGTTTCCTAACTTCACAGCAGCGTTCGTTCCTCCTTACTTACAATAATGGAAAGAAGTCAGAGTCAAAACAATTCAGAGGGCCCCCTGCCTGTCTTTGCCTAGGGCCCCACATTTCCTAAATCCTAACGTTAAGCTAGCTAGCAGTCATCCTTGGCAGATTTAACAGGAGATTTCTTTCTGTTAAATGGGAGTTTTTCCTCTCCACTGTCGCTACAAGCATGCTTAGTGTGAGGGATTGCTGAAGAGTCAATGAGTCGATGCAATCAGCTGGTTTTCCTTGGATAGAAAACTTCTATCCTCTGACTGGATGATCTGGTGAACTGGAAAGTGACCTGAGATGACATGATGTGAATTGGAGCTATAGAAATAAACTGAATAAAATTAACAGGTATAGTAAAAAAAAATAAAAATGAAAGACCCCAGCTAATTGGTTCATGGCCAATAATAAGGTGTTGGCCTCAGGTTGAGAGGCCAGTGCTGTAGATCAGCCAGACGTAAGGAAATAAAGGAGTCCGGTTCTGCATAATGGGTGGAGAAAATTCCCAATAGGCTCCAAAGCATAACTGGAAAAGTAGTCGGACCTTCTGAAAAGTCCCTAAGAGGGCTCCAGTTTTCATTGGTTTCTGCAAAAATGCAGATGTTCTGATTTTTAACAGATGCATGATCTCCACAGGGTTCCTCAGACTGATCGGGTTTACCAGAGCCTCCTGGGAAGAACCAGAGCCACTGAATTTCCGGGCTGCAGCAGCGTAGAAACATCAAGAAGTAATAAATAATCAGACTAATTGATTCATATAAAAGTAAAACAGCTGAAGTCGACTATCTTTGATACAATGCATGCACTCATCAGCCAATCATAGACCAGAGATTATATGAGGTCATCCTCAAAGATTCCTAACTGATGTCTATGGATCCTCTCTGTCCCACCTTTCCATCTACTCATTAACTCACCTGTGGTCCTGGTGAGGAATCTGAGGACGGATTTGATGGCTGCTCCGATCAGAACCATAACGACGCCACACAGCCCCCCCCCACACACACCCGCACACACACTCACTCCTCAGGCTGCAGCAGCAGTAATGCAGCTCCTCACTCTGCGGCGCCGCTCTCCTCCCACTCCTCTCTCTCTCTCCTACCTCTTTCCTCCTCTCTTACTTCC